CACTCTCCGGTGGGCCTTAGTGACGTCCGCCTTGAGCAGCACCCACCTGGTGCCCGGCTCCGGCCATTGCCAGCCCTCGGGTGGAGGTTTGACGACCTCCTTCTCGGGGCCGGGGGCACCCTGAGAGGGAGGTCCCTCCTCAGCTGCCGCATGTAGCCAATGAAGAGCTTGTACCCCATCCAGCACCGTCGGAGCCGTCGTCCTTTCCACCGTCTGGTTCCTGATGGTGTCATTGGCCCCGCCCACCGAGCCATCGTAGATGGTGCGGATCTTGTCCCCTTCGTCGATGCCCGCTAGGGGGCCTGGACAAAGATCCTCCATATTGCAGCCACAGCGTGCTGCTGCCTCTACCTTGGTGAGAGGGCCATCTACCATGCCCATGGGGGACCTCCTCCAGGAATGTGCTACGGATGAGCTCACTGAAGTGATCCGCTGAGGGGTAGTTACCCCGGCCCGTGGGATGAGGGAGTTCCTGGAACTCCGGCTCCTCCCCTTTTAGCTCCTTCTTGAGTGGCCAGATGCCCGGCGAGGCTAGGGGTGGGTCCGTGACCCGCAGTGGGACCCCTTGTTCCGAGGAAACTGGTGGTCGGGGTCCTGAATGTTCAGCGCCAGGCTGTGCAAGATGTCGGTTGGCCTTCCACTGGTCGGCATGCCCCTGGCGCCAGGATCTCCCTGATATCTTCCAGCAGATCCTCCGGGAAGGGGTGTGACCCGAGAGCGACTCCTGGAGTTTGTCCTTTCATGGTGACGTGAGGACACAGATCTTGGCCCCCATCGCTGCTGCTTTGGACAGTGTGCCGAGTCCACGGGGCCAGCCGTCCAAGTGAGGGCTTCCCACCCCCGTCCCTGAGGGGGCGCTGTTTGAAGGCCATCTGGAGGCACATAACCTTGGGTGGTGGGCCGATCCGAGATCTCCATGCAATGGCGTGCCCATGGCTGAAGGGGAAGAGTTTCACCCCGTAGTTCGACCGTCCTGCCAGCCGGCTGTGTTGGTGTCCGGACCTCAGGATTGTCTGAGGCCGAGACCGGACGTGAGCCCAAGGTTAGTCCCGCCAACGCTTGTTGGCCGGCCTTCAGCCTCAGGGACTGGCGCTTGTTGTCCCCCGGCGTGCTGGGAGATGGTTCCCTCTGCCGTCTCGGGGGGGTCGTTGGGTTCACTTGGGGCACCGTGCCCCCCGGCCTCAGCGCCTCCAGGACGGGTCCCGCTCTGCAGAGGATGGCCGCTGCGAGACCCTGCATCATCTGCTCTGGGTACCGGCTGAGGTCACTGGAGTTGAGCTTTTCCCCCCTGGGGTGAGCTCCGTGGTTGCATCGCAGATCATGCCAATGGTGAAGGGGAAGGTCCGTTGACAATGTCGTGGACTTCACTACCACCTGGCCCAGGCGGCACTCGTCAAACTTGATGAGGGAGTGGTGGAGTGCGTTCGCCCATTGAATGTAGGCACGTGTGACCCAGATCGATGAGCACCTCGCTGCGCTCGGGCTCTTGCTGCACTCCGTTGGGTCCTTTGGGTGCTCCAGGAAGGAGGAGCCCACCTGCGGGACCGTTCGTTGACCTAGTTCTTGGTAGGCCAGCGAGGTCAGGTACATCTGTCGGAGCATGAGCACGCTGTCGTTGTCCGTGTCCTCCATTACCCGGGGCTCCAGGTCCTCCAAGCCCCACAGGGTCTGCTCCGCCCTGCCCCTCACCGGCGGCGGGCCTCCCGGTTTGGGGAACCATCTGAGAATGCTCCACGTTCTGCAGTTGGGGCCGCCCCCCACAAAGGCGACCTTCCCCGCCATGGCCATGGAGCACATTGTAGAGTATGGCTCGTCTCCCAGCATGTCCTGTCCAGGTCCTGGCATTAGCCCAACCTGTCGTACAAGGCCCCCGCCGCCTCCTGCGGGACCTGCTCGACCCAGTCGTGGACCACGTTGCAGCGCCAATTGACCTTCACCTCCACCATCGACGACTTGCTCAGGCCCGCCACCAACTTGGTGTAGACCGAGTCGAAGGCCTTCAGCGCGGCCAGCGGGAGGGTGATCCGTTCGTCGCAAACTGCCCTGAAACGCAGCGCCTCCTTACTGTCATGGATGGGGGCCACCGGCATCTCCATCACGGGCAACGGACAGTTGACGATGAAATTCTTTGCCGCCAAAAATGTCCCCATCTCCTTTCCTTGAAGACGTAGCCCCACTCCTCCTTGCTGCGCGGCTTGGGGATGCCCAGGCTCTCCAGGAAGGGCACCGCCTCCTTCCTCATCTGGAGGATGTTGCCCATCCACTTGTCCGAGGTCGAGCCCTCCGCATTGCGGCCCCGGCGTTGCGTCTTCACAATCAACGGGAAAGTGGTCCAGGCCGAGTAGATATACTTAAATGTGAACCTGTGGGCCAGAAGATACCAACCACCTGCTCCGGTGCCGGGCGCTCGTTGCGGTTCACCTGAGCTCGGATCTCCAAGGCCGTGTATGACTGGGTCGATGTGGTCCTGCTCGCACGTGAGTGGGTGAGTCCTGCGCTCAAGGGCCAGGAGCTCCTCCGGCGCGAGCTGGGGATCTCACCGCTTGCGTGCTTCTTCCAAACCCCCCCAAACATCCGGAGCTCTCCCTGGTGCCGCTTCATTGCCCAGAGGATAAGGGACAGCTTGCCATCCTCAGAGTCCAGGTCTTGCTGTCACATGAACTATTCCCCCCAAAGCCGGTGACACCCTTGGGGGGTGCCGGTGCCACCAGCTCGGGCATCTCCTCCAGCAGTGCCTCCTGCTGCCACGGGTTCTGCGACGCTCTGAGCATCCTGATGTAGGGGACATACTTCTCCTTGATGTCCCCCAGCGGGGGGATGTCGTCGGGGTCATCCAGCTCCAGGGGCAGAATAGGCCCCTCCTCTCCAGGGCCTTCCTGAGATCATCCGGCCACGCCGACGCTTTTAAGGGCTTGAGAGTGTGGTTGAGCATCCATGTGCCTGGTTGGTGTCCTGGGTTCGCTTGCCGCCTGAGCCTCCTGAATGGAGCCCATCGCCTCAGCCAATGCCTGGCTGGCGTCAACTCCCCTCCAAGCACTGGTCTCTCAGCTTGGCCTTGAAACGCTCCAGGTTGACCTTCCCTGAGGGCACGGGCTCCCTCATTGGCCACCTCATCTGACGGCAGGGCCTGCATGTCCTCCTGGAGGGGCGCCAGGATCGCCATCTCGTTGTCCAGCATCTCCTCAGACTCCTTGTGCCGCCGCTTGGCTGAGGCCTCCTCCGGAGTTGGTTCCCGATGCTCCCGCAAGGCCTTATGCAGCTCCTCCTTCTTCCTGATCGCCTGGTCCACCTGGGGATGGTAGAGCTGGAAGCTCTGAGCCTCCGCCTCCTTCAGGGACCGCTGCACTTTGACCTTGATCTCCTGGCTTTCCCGGACCTTCAACACCTCGTCGTCCGCCTCCATGGACAGGATCTCCTGCCGGATGTCCACCCGCCTGTTAAGCGGGACCGCATCTGCCATGGTGATCTCATCTGCCGAGTCCGTTTTTGGAGGGGCTCTCCCCAAGACCGTGCCGTCCACCAAGTTGCGGTCGGCCTGTGCCAGGGTACCACCGGGGCCAACGGCACCCAGGCTTCCCCATTCCCGCTGCTGGATCCAGGTCGGCTTGCCCTCCACGATGAGCAGGTTGTAGGTGATGCCATCCGCCTCATAGGTGGCTGAGGGTGCCTGGAAGGGGGCGAACTCCTTGCCGGGGCAGACCCAGCACTGCTTGGCTGCCTCTGGCCACCCCGTTCCGCATGCCTTGCACATGAACTTGTAATCGGAATGACCTGCGTCGAGCCTGTGCATGCGCTGGGTGCCAATACACGCCTTGTTCCTCTGGAACTGCGAAGCCCAGACCTCCTCCTGGCGGAGCTGGATCTTCATCGGGACATAGCCTCCAGGATGCGAATCACCAGGTCCTCCGTGAGGTTCTTCCCCACAAGCTTGTGAAACAGGGAGACCGCCTCCTCCACCGTGATGTCTCTCAGCAAGGTGGCCGCCGACGCTGGAAGGACTGGAAGTTGGCCTGAGACGTAGCCTTCTGAGAAGCCGCCACGAAGCCCTTCAGTCTCTTCGTGGGTGGCGTCTGCGCCTCCTCCGGCGGTGTGGCCCGCTCCGTGCCGTCCGCATCCCCCATGTCCTTGTCGCCCTCCTCGGCGGGGCCAGGGGCACCCAGGCCGGGAGTCGGTGTGGCAAATGCCACTCGGAGACGCTCCAGTGCACTGGAGAGGTCCTTCATCACATCGGTCGCCGAAGCTGACGGGGGGGCCTCGGGCTCGTCCAAAACCAAGCCGGCCGCCACTGCCGCCTCCCGTGTGCGAATGTCCTGGGCCTCCTGGCTGGCCATTTCAACCTCCTCCACGGTGAGTGTCTGGTCCTCAATCAACTCAAAGGAAGTGGCCGAGGTTGCCGAGGAAGCCATTGCTTGGTCGGGGTTAAGTTCGAAAATGCCAAAGATCAAAGTTTTTCAATCAGCTTGGGTTCCAGGAACCCAGAACAATGCTTGAGCCAAAATGGCACATGCCATTGTGGTCAAGCATTCCACACACAGTTCATGTTTCCACATGCGTTTCAACATTAACAAAATATGTGAGATATTTTTGGAGTACATTGGATATGTGAGATATTCTTGGAGTACAGGGAATTGGATATGTTTGGGTTTGCTCTTCTCTTGTCCAACTGCGTGGTGGGTCGGCAAAGGGAGCCCGCGGAGTTACAAAACGCCGGAAGAGGCTGGAATCCATGGAACCATCGAAACCAATTCCAACGGAACATCCCAACCAAAGAGTGGACTCAGAAACCAATCTTCTGGTTCAATGTGGGATTTCCGCTTTAAACTCATCAACGTGGGTAAGATTCCCAGACTGTGGGTTTTTTTTAAGAAAGAAAGGGCGGCGTTTTTGGCTGAGTTGCAGCCCGCCCCCCCCCAAAGAAGAAAGAAAGAAAAGAACAGAAAAGGACAAAAAGGAACATATCTGCAGTCACACCCCCAAAAAAACAGGATATTATTGGTGTTTGTCGGAGGGGCCTTCTTGTTGGTTGGGAGAGAAACCTAAAGCACCACCATTTGTTGGGGCCAGGCATAAGTCTGCTGATGGTTGTCCTCCAATTCATTGGAGGCTTTCCTTTAGGCCAGGTTCAAAGTTGTCAACCTACCCCCTGACGTCCCAAAACGACGCCACCAAATTCGGCCTGCGCCATCCAGAGTTCCGCCCGCTCCGCCTGCGTCTCTCTGTAGAGGGAGGAGATGTGCATCAGCTTCTTGGGGATGCAGCCCACGTTCACGCAGGTGCCTCCGAGGCCCTGCCATCCAAGCTGCCCGACCCGGAAAAACGCACGGCTTCACGAACCGCTTCAAGGGAACCCAGCCCCAAAAACCGCGGGAAAGCGCGGGATGGTCCCAGAAAAACTTGGAGACTTCGAAACGGGAGCCCCAAAGAACACAACACGGGGAAACAACAAGGTGATACAGCAGAAACTCGACCCAGCGACCCAAACGTGGCTCCGTCTTCGACGCGCTCCTCCCAGCTTTCTGGGCTTCTGGTCATTTCTCCCACAGCCTAAGCCAAGCAACAAGTGAAGGGACCACCTACCAGCACTGGTCTGGGCCGAAGGGAGGAACTGCAGGGCTTGGGGTGCAGGGTTGCGGGAAGGGGTTTATCCAACACTTCTGTGATACAAGTTGGAATCTCCCCCTTGTCTGGTCTCGTCATCTCCCCTACCTTAAGGGAAAGGGGTGGGGGGTCCTCAACTTCCCCATAAAAGGGAAAATGGAACCGCAAATGGAATTCCAGGAGTCACCCTCCGCCAATTCCATCTTCGGGGTGGGGGATGTCTCGTCAAGCAGGCCGGGTTGGACCCAAGTGGTCCCCGCCGGCGAGGGCTTCACAAAGTCCGCCACGGCGACCTGCGAGCGGTTCGGCGAGCGCGCCGGAAGTGAAGGTCCTCCAGAGGGAGGTCTATTTTAGTAGGGGAACCCTCCCACCACCAAATCATGTAGTCTATTTTAGTAGGGGAACCCTCCCACCACCAAATCATGTAGTCTATTTTAGTAGGGGAACCCTCCCACCACCAAATCATGTAGTCTATTTTAGTAGGGGAACCCTCCCACCACCAAATCATGTAGTCTATTTTAGTAGGGGAACCCTCCCACCACCAAATCATGTAGTCGATTTTAGCAGGGGAACCCTCCCACCACCAAATCATGTAGTCTATTTTAGTAGGGGAACCCTCCCCCCGACAAAAGGCTGAGAAAGGGCACTGGGGGACCTACATATAAGCCATCGGCTCTGATCTCACCGTGTGAAACCCAAGATGATGTTTAATCCATTTCAACTGGCCTGATTCCTTTCCTCTGGCCCACAGCTTCACTCCCCACGTGACACGGACACTTAGAATCAATTGCGCGGACTCAAAGCCTGATGTTGTTGTGTTCCATATGGCTGTGGGTCAAAACCAATGGTACCCTTGTAGGGTAGGTGCACCACTCAGTTTAGTCCATTTTAGTGGGGATTGAATCGGATGTTCACTGGGGGGTACGATTTGGATTTTGACCCATGGCCACATCTGAATATATTTCGCGTACCCATTCTATGGGTATGGGTCAAAATTAAACCACCAAGGGAACCGCTGGTTTAGTGTATGTTTGCATGTACCAGAGTTGCATTTTCGGTACCTATGTCTGACCCACAGCCATATTTAGTCTACCCATTGCCATTCTATGGATGTCTCTCCCAAAAACGACACCAGCTTTCTCCATGCGTCCCAGGCCTTCGCCCCAAGGTCGGCCGCCTGCTTGGCTGCCGCCAAACCCCCGGACCCCCCGCCGATGACCTGCGCGAGTTTCGGGGGTGGGGCGGGGGGAGGGGGGTTTAGAGGTCACACCAGGGGGCCTTAGGGTGAAGGTTGGCGGAATTCTCCGTGAGATGACTAAGCAGATGACGAAAATGCGTTGGCACATGGCATAACTACCATCATATTACGGGGAGGACCAAAAAGAAAGGACTTGTGCGATCTACTTTTGGCAGATGGGAATCATGAAGGGGATGACTCACCAAAATTTTGAAAGTGTGCCTCTACTTTCACCCAACTGTCGTCCTTCGTTGATCCGCACTGAGACAAGATGCTTCAATCTTGTTTTGCGGACACTGGGGAACGGGGTTTTGGGGTGAAAGTTGGGGGAGGAGGGGGCTGGGGGAATGGGCTGGATTCAACAGATGTACTGCTTCGTTGATATCTCGCCAAAGTAAAATCTTGGTAGGTATGTCACTAAAGTCTTTTAACCCAACAAGTCTAAAGTCCAAGGGTATGGTGAGTTTCTTGAGGGAATGAAGCTGACTCCTGAAGCTGGGGAGAACTTCAATCAATTCCGAGCCCCGCTGTCACGGCCCAAGCCAGCGGCGGGAAACGATGTGTGTTGGTTGATGTTGATGTTGAAGGAACACCACTGGAAGTCGTATGCTACGGAAGATGCCCTAAGTGCAAGTAAACTCGACCTAAACGCAGTGTCAACCACATCATCCGAGCAAACTAGGCTTGAGCAGAGGTCAATCATTACATGGCTGTGGGTCAAAACCAATGGTACCATTTTGGAGTAGGTGCACCACCCATTTTAGTCTGTCTTAGTGGGGATTGGGATGTTCACTGGGGGTACGATTTGGATTTTGACCCATGTTAAACGATTTGAATCAAATTGACGCCCTGGAGGAATCACCGCTTATCTGCCCGGAGCCAGGCACCAATCAACCTGAATGAAGCAAGAGTGTTATTCGTAGGGAGCCCCATTGACCGAACTGACCTTGGCGCCCGAAATGGGCCTGGGATGGGCCTACAAAGTGAGAGATCGTGGCGCCTGCAAAATCCAGCGGGTCCCCAAAAATGGGCCCGGCGGTGTTTTTCGTTTCGGTCTTGGAACGCTTTCGAAACCGCGCAATTCTCCGGACTGGGCCCCCGGGCAAACAAGTCGAAGTCGTAGGCGGCATCGGGGCTGGGCCTGGGGAAAGCCAACTTCCAGATGGCACTGGGACCCCTGTTGTGGGACTTGGCCTGTTCCTTTTGGATGGCTTAGCCATGGCCTGTTCAAAATGGACTCTTGGGACTTGGGACTTCTTGGGAAAAGGAGTCTTGGACAACCACGGAAGAAGGACTCCTTTCGTAACCCAGGGTGAGGAGTATATAAGGAGTGCATTTGCACCCCACATCTTGAGAACCCTTTGAGGGCTTTTTTGAACTGCTGACCCGTCGGACCCGTCCGGACCGCTTGGGACTTCTTGGGACCCTTGGGACTACACGGCTTGGAGGCGTTACCTCCAGAACCCATCCGAAAGCAGCTTGGATGTTTTGCTTCTCTGAGAAACAACACATCAGGCCACTTCCTCGCCAAGACACGCTGCCGCCATTGCGTGACAGCTGTCAGCGGTTGCTTGCTGGGTCAAAAGGGGCCTGTGGACTTCTGCCCAGAGATCCGGCTGAAATGGGTCGTGCTGCGGGCCAAGTGGGGTAGGAAAACCGTCGCACAAGGCGGAACCCCCGAACGCATTTGAGCACAAAGCTGCGTGCAGAGTTTCCGCAGAAAGTTTGCATCCATTTCAGCATCCATAGAATATAGAGCTTTGGTGTTGTCCCAGTCGCGGCAATGTGTCGGAGAAGAATCTGGAAGAGTCCTAAAGTCACATTACCCAAAAGTGACTGGGTTTCTGCTTTCCTCCCGGCCAGACACAGGCCGATTCCTGGAAACTGTTGAGCTTTGGGGTAATATGACACAATTGGTAGAGTAATGGAATGAATGACAGGCCGGCTATCCGATCAACTCTTACCCAGAAACGCCCAGCGACGCTACAAAGAGGGAGGCCCTTTGGACGTTGACCTTTTGTGGGTCCGAACCCACCAAACAAATAAGGACTGCACAGGGCTTTTGCATTGGGCCTGTTCGACAGGTACTTGAGCTGAGGTCCCCAGGAGATACAAACCTGGGCCCACGCCGCGGATTCCAGAATCAGATGCCCAGATTATGTTTGTATGTAGTCAACGCATCTATACATACATGTACATAATATATATATACATACATACATACATACATACATACATACATACATACATTCATACATACATACATACATACATACATTGCATGCATGCATGCATGCATGCATGCATGCATGCATGCATGCATGCATGCATGCATGCATGCATGCATGCATACATACATACATACATACATACATACATACATACATACATACATACATACATACATACATACATACATACATACATACATACATACATACATACATACATACATACATACATACATACATACATACATACATACATACATACACATACATTACATACATACATACATACATACATACATACATACATACATACATACATACATTACATACATACATACATACATACATACATACATACATACATACATACATACATACATACATACATACATACATACATACATACATACATACATACATACATACATACATACATACATACATACATTACATTACATACATTACATTACATTACATTACATTACATTACATACATTACATTACATTACATTACATTACATTACATTACATTACATTACATTACATTACATTACATTACATTACATTACATTACATTACATTACATTATATTACATTACATTACATACATACATACATACATACATTACATACATACATACATACATACATACATACATACATACATACATACATACATACATACATACATTACATACATACATACATACATACATACATACATACATACATACATACATACATACATACATACATACATACATACATACATACATACATACATACATACATACATACATACATACATACATACATACATACATACATACATACATACATACATACATACATACATACATACATACATACATACATACATACATACATACATACATACATACATACATACATACATACATACATACATACATACATACATACATACATACATACATACATACATACATACATACATACATACATACATACATACATACATACATACATACATACATACATACATACATACATACATACATACATACATACACATACATACATACATACATACATACATACATACATACATACATACATACATACATACATACATACATACATACATATACATACATACATACATTACATACATACATACATACATACATACATACATACATACATACATACATACATACATACATACATACATACATACATACATACATACATACATACATACATACATACATACATACATTACATACATACATACATACATACATACATACATACATACATACATACATACATACATACATACATACATACATACATACATACATACATACATTACATTACATTACATTACATTACATTACATTACATTACATTACATACATTACATACATACATACATACATACATACATACATACATACATACATACATACATACATACATACATACACACACCATACATACATACATACATACATACATACATACATACATACATACATACATTACATACATACATACATACATACATTACATTACATACATACATACATACATACATACATACATACATACATACATACATACATACATACATACATACATACATACATACATACATACATACATACATACATACATACATACATACATACATACATACATACATACATACATACATACATACATACATACATACATACATACATACATACATACATACATACATACATACATACACATACATACACATACATACATACATACATACATACATACATACATACATACATACATACATACATACATACATACATACATACATACATACATACATACATACATACATACATACATACATACATACATACATACATACATACATTACATACATACATACATACATACATACATACATACATACATACATACATACATACATACATACATACATACATACATACATACATACATACATACATACATACATACATACATACATACATACATACATACATACATACATACATACATACATACATACATACATACATACATACATACATACATTACATACATACATACATACATACATACATACATACATACATACATACATACATACATACATACATACATACATACATACATACATACATACATACATACATACATACATACATACATACATACATACATACATACATACATACATACATACATACATACATACATACATACATACATACATACATACATACATACATACATACATACATACATATACATACATACATACATACATACATACATACATACATACATACATACATACATACATACATACATACATACATACATACATACATACATACATACATACATACAATTACATACATACATACATACATACATACATACATACATACATACATACATACATACATACATACATACATACATACATATACATACATACATACATACATACATACATACATACATACATACATACATACATACATACATACATACATACATACATACATACATACATACATACATACATACATACATACATACATACATACATACATACATTACATACATACATTACATACATACATTACATTACATTACATTACATTACATTACATTACATTACATTACATTACATTACATTACATTACATACATACATACATACATACATACATACATACATACATACATACATACATACATACATACATACATACATACATACATACATACATACATACATACATACATACATACATACATACATACATACATACATACATACATACATACATACATACATACATACATACATACATACATACATACATACATACATACATACATACATACATACATACATACATACATACATACATACATACATACATACATACATACATACATACATACATACATACATACATACATACATACATACATACATACATACATACATACATACATACATACATACATACATACATACATACATACATACATACATACATACATACATACATACATACATACATACATACATACATACATACATACATACATACATACATACATACATACATACATACATACATACATACATACATACATACATACATACATACATACATACATACATACATACATACATACATACATACATACATACATACATACATACATACATACATACATACATACATACATACATTACATACATACATACATACATACATACATACATACATACATACATACATACATACATTACATACATACATACATACATACATACATACATACATACATACATACATACATACATACATACATACATACATACATACATACATACATACATTACATACATACATGCATGCATGCATGCATACATACATACATACATACATACATACATTACATACACACACACACATACATACATACATACATACATACATACATACATATGCAGCCCGTATATATATGTATATATATATATACGTCTGCATTATATGTTTTTGGGTATGTGACTGGTTGTCGCTTGGGCCTCCCGTTAAACTACTACCCCCCCCCCCCCCGCCCCCCAAAAAAAACAACAACAAAAAGGTACCCTCCTGAACACCCATATTTGGAGACCACATAAACCATCAAGGCCAGGGACATCGATTGCGATTTTACAGCTGATCCAATGGATGCAATGGCATCACTCCAAGCAACACTCGACCAGGATGCCTGCACTGTCGCAGCCCACCCTGCGCAAGGCGCTGGGTAAGCTGAGGCCCTGTAAGCTGTGGTTGAAGTTGTGGCCAAAGATCAAACTCTGAAGGCAGGGCAGATTCAGTCCCTCCAAGCTTTGGTCAAAGCGATCCCCAAACGTCAGGGATTGCAAAGTTCTGGGCAGATTGACTCCATTCAAGCTGCGGTTGAATCTGTAGCCGAATGTGAGACTTTCAAGGGCAGAGGGCAACTCGACCTCATGCAGGCTCTGGTCAAAGCGATCGCCGAACCTAATCTTTTGGAGCCCGCTGGGCAAACTCACCCCCTGCAAGCTCTGGTCGAAGTCGTTGCCAAAGGTCAGGGTCTGCAGGCCACTGGGCAGCTCGACATCCTGGAAGCTTTGGTTGAAGCTTCGTCCAAACATCAAGCTTTGAAGGCTGCTTGGCAAGTGCACTCCCTTCAGGCTTTGGTTGAAGCTCCGCCCGAAGCTGAGGCTCAGCAAGTTGCTTGGCAGAGTCACGCACTGTAAAGTTTGGTTGAACGTCGTGCCAAAGGTGAGACTCTGCAGTGTACTGGGAAGCTGCACCTCTCGCAAGCTTTGGTTGAAGCTGTAGCCCAAAGTCAAGCTCTGCAGTCCGGGCAGGCGAGCCTCCCAGCCTTCGCTGGACTGATCGCCGATGGTGAGACTCTGGAGACTGCTGGGCAGGGTGACCTCCTGCAAGCGTTGGCTCATCTGATCGCCGAACCTCAAGATCCGCAGCGTCTCGGGCAGACTCACTCCTCTTAAGCTCGCCAAGTCCCCGCCAAAGGTGAGAGTCTGCAGGGCGGGCAAATGCGCCTCCAGGGTCCCGCGGAAGTTCCGGCCCAGCGTCAAATTCTGAAGCTCGGGCAACACTCCCTGCAAGTTTTGGTTGAACCAGTTGCCGAAGATCAAAGTCCGAAGGCTGGGCAAACTCAGCCCATGCAAGCTTTGGTCGAACTGATCCCCAAATGTCAAGCACTGCAGGGTGCTCGGCAAGATCACACCCTGCAAACTTTGGTTAAAGCTGTACCCAAACGTCAGACTTTGCAAAGTGCAAGGCAGACTCACGTTCTCCAAACTGTGGTTAAATTGATTGCCAAGCGTCAGGCTCTGCAGTGTGTTTGGAAAAGTGACCCCCTGCAAGCATTGATTGTATTGGTTGGCAAACGTCAGGCTCTGCAAGTTGCTTGGCAGAGTCACTCCCTGCAATGCTTGGTTGAAACTGCGGCCAAATGTCAAACTCTGAAGGCCACTGGGCAAGTGAACCTGCTGCAAGCGCTGGTTAAAATCCCAGCCGAAGGTCAATTCTTGGAGGCTGCTTGGCAAAGTCACTTCTTCTAGGCTCTGGTTGAAGCTCCTTCCGAATGCCAGACTCTGCAAGCTGCCTGGCAGACTCAGCCCCCCCAAGCTTTGGTTAAAGCTTCCCTCAAGCCTCAAACTCTGTAGGCGCCCTGGCAAACTGATCTCCTGCACAGCTTGGAGACCTCAGCACGGACTTAGCTGGGTGAATTATAATATTTCACCGGCCTGAAATAAGGTGGTTCGGGGGCTATTCCCCACATAAACCACCATTTGGAGTGAGGTCGTGTGAGGTCGCTATAATTCACCCAGTTCCATGGGCAAAACGCATCGGCGCCCTTCAGTTGCGCGATCTGAAAGAAAGACACCCTCCGTACAAAAAAACAAAAAGCCAAATACGCCCAGGTGGTATTTCCCCAACAGCCTCGCAATCTCCTCCAAAGGAACCCTCCTGAAGCCTTGCTGAAAACCGCCTCAAGCCAGCCCGAACGAGCCTATCTGGGCAGAGACCAAATCCATAGCTTGCAGCCGTTGGGGAAAAACACAGTTCATAACAGGGATCCTTACATTATACACCTGAGCATTGCCTTGTAAACAAAAAAATGTGGTGTCCCTTGATTTTGGTGTTGAAAAGGCCATGTTTCAATTGGGCAGAATGTATCTTTTAAGGAGCCCTGCTCATAAGCCAGGGCGGAAGCCGGAAGCCATGCCAAGCTTCAGTCGCTGCCATACTCCAAAGTGAGGCTCTGCAAGCTGCTGGGTAGCCTACCCCAGCGCATGCTGGAGTGACACGTCAGGGTCAGAGTCTGCAAAGTCTCGGGGAGCACCGGGTCCAAGATATCCACCCCGCCAAAGGTCCACCTTGAACGTTGAGCAACAGAAGCGACAAATCTTGGGATGGCAGTTTGGGGAAGCAAACGGAAACCCGGCCGTTTTCAGGGGGTCACTGGACTTCCCCTAACAAGTTGCAGTTTACTGGTGGGTTCCAACGAAACAGCCACTTTTGGAGGTCCCAAAAAGGGGCATTTAGGGAGAGAGGCGACTCATTTTGACGGCTTCAAGTCACAATGTTTGTTGACCCCGCCTGATCCCTGTGACACCTTCCAGAGCTTCTCCGGCTACATTTCCGTTGACCGACCGCCCGGTCAAAACGTCCCAGGCCGCCAGCAGATTGGTGTAGGTGTAAGTGAATGTGCCCTCCAAAGAGGATAAGGCCTGGGATCCGGGGCTTAAAGTGGTTTGACTTTTCCGGTGGGAAAGGGGTCCCCTGTAATTGGTTTCAATGTAAGTATGATACTTTTCTCCTCGAATCATGACGAACATTGATATTCAACAAAAAACACCCCACAAAAAGAAACACGGCAAAAAAAGAAGAAACCAAACCACAATCCCGGTGCCAACGTTGCGAACCAACGAATCGCCGGCCACGTGTGGCCAACAGCATTTTGGTGGCTGAGCTTGAAAGGGTTTATCTCGCAGCGCCAAAAACAACAGGTAAAGCCCCATCGAAGATCGGAGGTCTGGGGTTGTGTTCTAACTGAGCTCACGTGAGGGTGAGCTCAGTGACATCCTCAACATCACCATGCTGGTTCAAAGGGAACACCCTTCATCATGTTGAGAACGGGCCCTTCGTACCCAGCTTCACCCCTGCCTGGTCCCGCAAAGATCTGTCTGGGCAGATTTGGGATTCGCCGAAGCTCAGGTGAAGCACGCACCCAGGTTGTGGACGTAGCTCAGACCGCACCTGAAACTGTGCCAAACGGATCTCGGGGCAAAAAGCTTTATCTTGCTGGTTGAACAAGATGAAGGAACAATCAACGCCTGCCGGACAAAGCGGGAACCCTCACAAGAACAAAACGGCGGATCCGCCGTGGGTCTCGAACCAAACGACCGGAAGCGATTTCGCTTTTCTTGCCTTTGGCTGCATCTGGGGCCTATTTTCTTCTTTTGGAGTTGGTACCCTTGTAAAGGTGGACTTCAGGGAAGCCAAAAAGGAAACCGACGCCCATTTTGGCGGGTCCATATCCTGCAAAAATATGTGTTGGCGGGGGGGGGGGGGGGGAACTCTCTCCAGGTGGTCGGTGTGTTGGTTTGCCTTTCTGAGTTCCCCCAAGACACACCCATTTGGAGACAACACATGTACTTCAGCTGCTCTAGGTGTCCTAAAATATATAACTGTCAGAAATAAACGCTGTTCTTCCCAAAAAATATGAACGACACATAAACCTAAATCCCATGTTTACTAAAATATTGAAACATAAACATGATTTGTCAAACACATGTTATAGTCCCTTGACACATACGATCTACCAAAAGTGAAAACGATCCAGATCTCGAGTGACCAGGAGGAAGACAAGTGTTGCTACATGTGCGACCACTATGTCGGGGATGATGTCAACGGAGCTTCTAGCATTGTGCAACCAAATGAGTGACAACACACCATTGGTGAGATCCAAATCAACGCTTTGACACATGGGGGTTCTCATTTGTCCTCGAATTTTACTTGATGCAAGGTCTAAACAACTAGGGATTTTTGTTGCCAGTTTGTTGTTGCCTGATTTTGAGAAGCACCCTGCGCCCCCCCCCCAAAAAAAAAAAACAAAAGGAGAAGCACACACACCCCAACATTCTTTCAGAAGCACCCACATCCCCCCCAGAAGTCTCTCTCGGAGTCCAGCCCCAAAAGTCTTTCTCAAGGGCTGTCTGGTGGCTTTCCAGTCTTGGTTGACGTTGGAAGGGCAGCATACATTTTCATTTTTAGCTGTCAAAGTGGATGGATTTCAACCACTAAACCACAAGAAGCAAACGTGTGAAATGGTTCCCAACAACAACCATGCCTTGCCCTCATGAAACGAATGGCAAGGACTCAATTTGGATGATGACACTCCTGACCGGTAAACAATGGCTAAATTGTCTTCCTCAAAAAATCGGTTTTTGGTGCTTTCCGCTTTCCGGTGGTTCCGGTTCGGTACACGGCGCTCGTTGCAGCAGCTCGCAGCCCAAGAAGTCCAAGGCCACCGTGAGCCGCAGCTCCCGGCCGTTCAGCCCCGAGAGCCGCAGCGGCAGCTCGTCCATCACTCGCTCGATGGCTCGATGGCTCGCTCGATGCGAGGAGTGCTGCTTTGGGCCCCAATGGACTTGGGAGGCTGGGATCTGGGCGGCCCGTTTTTAGATCCCCCGGAAAAAAAGTGACGAACTTTTAGTGGGTTGAATGGAAACTACCACTAAACACTAAAAGCTAAGGGGATGGCTGGGAGCCACCGAGTATGTTTTTGGTGGATCCCAAAGGCAAGATCCTTTTCTTTTGGTTGAAAAAGGCAAGGCAACTTGGCATTTGTCTGAGTTTTTGAGCGTCCAGTTGGAGAAGTTGGACTTTTGGTTCTCACAACATGGCTGCAAAGGCTAATAACAGCCTTGCTATAAGTCTCCACGAAACAAGGCAGAACCACCTAGCAGAATGAGATCCAATGATGTGGGAGCTGCCAACTGCTTGAGGCTCAAAGCCTTTCTTGGTTTGCCCTATCAGCCAGTGACATGGCTGTGGGCCAAAAAATCGATACCCAAAATGGAATCTTGGTAAATGGAAACATGGACTAAAACCTGCGGTCCCCTAATGGCCTAATGGTTTAATTTTGACCCACATCCACATGATCATCTGGGCCAACCAATTGTTTAGCCATAGTTTCAGTCAGTTTTCTTTCAACAACGTCCTTGGTGTTCCCTTTGGAGGAAACCAAGGGCTAGTTGTTCAAAGCATGTTGCCTTCCGGATGTTTCAACATAATATCCTTTTGTGACTATATCCTTTTCCTTTTGGCCTCCGGCTTGAATGATCTAATGGGGTCCCGGAACCCTGCCAAACACCTTGCCAAACACCAAGCTAGTGGTATAGTGGTAGTGAACAACGTGTTTGACCCAATTCTTATCAAAGTGGATGGGTCCTTCATGTTCTCCACATGTTCAGCTATTTGTTGCCAGCTGCAGTAGGATGGTGGTGGTTTGGCCACTTGCTTAGAGAAAGAAAGGGGTTCGAAACATCCTTTTTCCAAGCATAGGGGCTCAGAGGGTCCAAGTACCTTCTAAGGAGGTACTTGGACCCCTTTTTACCCCAAAAGCATCAAAAGCCATCCTCAGGAGGTACCAAGGGACCCTCTGGGTTACATTTACCCAAACTTCCGTCCCTCCGGCTCCACGCTTCGGCCGATTTCCACTTTCCATCCGCTGAACGGGCCAACCCAACCCCGAGGGACCCAAACCGATCCGACGCCGCATCGACTTTTTGCCCACATTTTTCCAGCGCGCCATCGGCTCAGTGAGCACCTGACGCGACCAAACGTGTGTCGTGTTGCTTGGAGTTGCAGGGCTCCTTAAAAGATACATTTTGCAACCAGTTGGAACATGGCTGTTTCCACCAAAATAAAGAGAAACCACCATTTGAAACATGTTGCTGTTTCAACACCTTTGAATAAAGTTGGAAACCACCATTTACAAGTTGCAATGTTCAGGTGTATGATGTAAGGATCCCTGCAAAAAGTGTGCGTGTTGCTTGGAGTTGGCACCCGCATGGTTTTGAAGCCAAAAACGGACACCATGTGGGGGTCACCCGAATTTTGACACAAACCCTTCCAAAAACAGGGCCCCTTACATACACCTGAACATTGCAACTTGTAAATGCTGGTTTCCAACTTTATTTGGGTGCTGAAAAAGCAACATGTTTCAAATAGTGGCAAAATGTGTCTTTGAAGGAGCCCTGAGCTGGCGCCCCTGTTTTTGAGTGGTTTTGAAGGGAAGCCATGTGGGGGTCCCCCGATTTTGACACAAATTCTTCCATTCCTCCAAATGTCAAATGTTCCGGGGGTAACTTCCCCATTCTTTCCGGGGATCCTTCTTTCCGGACAACCACCAAACACCTGGAGGAAGCTGCTTCTGTAGTGTTTTGAAAAGAGCCGGTGGTTGGAAAGAGATGGATGATGCATAAGTATACCCTCCCTCCCACTAGCACCTGTGCGAGGGTCTGCCTTCGTCATCTACCTAGTTCTATATCCAACTCCTTCCACACAGCACATGTTGAACGACGAATGTAACATGTTTACCAGTGACCGTGTCTCCTTTGTTGCCATCGAGGGTTTGTTGAGCACTCTTCAAGTCAGGAACTTTGATTTCTGCCTGCCCCAAAACCCACAAGCAACCATCACTGGACCCCTATGATTTTTTGCTGTTGGCTTCCGTGCAAACGACCAAGAGGCGGCTTGGCAAACTGGTCATGCCCATATCCAGAATTCAACGTTTCTCAACAATGCGGCTGGTGGAACAGTCGTCACTATGTTGGGCATTAGTTCAAAGCGTCAATAAATGACAAGCAAACTATCATTCACGACCATATCCATATAGGCGAGGGTAAAAACATGTGATTCCTTCATGGACATGGGAAAATGAGGAAGCCCCCTGGCCTTGTTTTTTCAAAAAACAAGCTAGCGAGTCTCCCCATATCGTCCAAGATTATACCCACAAGATATGTTGACCGAACCAAATATAAAAGGGCAACAGGAAGAGTATCAAGACAAGGCAAATGAGATGCTCCCACCTGGAATCTGCCTGGAGGCGCTTGTTCTTGTGAAGCAAGCTTCTGTCAGCTTCCGCGTAGGAAAATATACTGTCTACTGGGGATCTCTTTGTGGACATCATTTCGCATACATTTGACCTACCTTAATATGCTTTTGAAGCCGCTGGCATACGGGTAGCTTTTTTCATGTGGCCCTATTTTCCTGGTTGCTGTTGACCCCTGCACGAAAAGTTTAGCTTGATCTGGGTCCAATTTCGGAGAATCCCAGCTTCAACCAAAAAGTTCAAGTCCAAAGTTGCCAAAGAGCCAGACAGTTATGTATTTGTTGAGGAACCCTTAAGGCTCAAAAAAAAACCGCTGGAAGCCCTCAAAGGGGCGCGGACCTCTCCCTTAAGCAACCGATCAAGGAACCCTTAAGGGGGAGGGATTGCTGGACTTGCGCTCAAAAAAAAAGAAGCTGGAGGCCCTTGGAGGGCGCGCGGACCTCTCCCTTTCGCCGCGGCGCTGGGTGGCGTCAGCGATTTGGGCGCTGGCACCCCGAAGAGCTCTTCCAGCCTCAGCGAGGTTTTGGGGTCACCCAACCGGGAGTTCCTGGGACACCCCTGTCAAATCAAAGGCTCCACCGTTTTAAGACACACACACACCGGGGAATTTTGGGGGTCTCGAAATTTCAGAATGCCTTTTCCCCGGCATTTGTTGGGTGGGTTCATTCCAGAAAAGTATCGGTGTGTGGTGCTCTGGAGGGATCAGTTCGAGATGTTTGTTGGAGACATGTCTCAACATCATCCCGAATCCCCAAACTGTGGATCTTGTTTTTGGCTTCCTTTCAAACAGCTAAAAGTGGGTGACCCAAACATGGTGAATCCACATAAAGCCTATATAGCTGGTTCATACGGCTGATGGGACCTACCCTGGTTCATGGTAGTAGCTACCATAACAATCCATCACAAGGAGCGAGGGAGGCCAATGAGCACCTCTTGATACACAACGGTCTGGAAGATGCGGCTCATTTGTTTGTGAGCCAGGGGATGTTGGGAGGGTACCCGCACAACACAACCAACCAACCAACCAACCAACCAACCAACCAAACAAACAAACACACAGTCACACAGTTGCTCAGTATGCGAATAGGGCATCGACTTCAAGTTCTGAGTGCCGTGCTTCTTCAGAGTCGTCAATGGGTTCGCATCCTCAATACCTCAGCCACAGGAAGTCACCTACACACCGTGACGAACAGCTGCAACGGATGTGTCAAATAGCCGAGGGACGTGGGAAACGGCTAGTTGTTGAACACACGTGCCCATCCCCTTGTAGACCATGTTTGGCTTCCTGTTGGGAACGTTGAACATGATCGGTCATTTAGCACTCGGTACTCAATCCGTTTTCTCCTTCTCTCGCTAAACAAAGACATATCTCAGTCTTCTCTGGCGGTGTGCATCCCAAGCTTTATTTGTGGAACCATCTTGCTTTCGACCCTTGGATGAATCCAAGGTAACGCGAACAACAACGGCCAGTTGGCGTATTTGATGACCCCCTACCTTTTTGTCTTGTTCTTAAGAAAGTAGAGGACGCCCTTGACATGAAGGCGTTTGGGCTCTTTTAGAGGCGTCGCTCTACCTTCTAATGGACACGGATGAAGATTCACAGGAATGCTAAGACAGCCACTACCCAAAGGTCTGCCAGGCTTCAAAGAAATCGTTTGGCAACCTTCAAAGACCCCAAAAGGCAGCGATCTGTGAAAGGAGGCTCTCAAGCGCTCTGACACACAGCCAAATACACCTAGGGGTAAGCTCACCTCAAATGAGCCACCCCTTCAAAACCTGCTTTTGGAAGTGGCATTTGTCCCATCGAGTCAGTCAGGTCGCTTTGCACGGAGCGCTTTCAACCCCGTTTGGCCTCAAGCCCTCCTTGGGAATACGCCTGGCTCTTTGGGGTCTCTGGTGGTAGGGTCTCTATCTTTTCCCCTGCAAAGGCGATATTCAAACCCCGCCCACATGTGAAAGGCAACCCCAGCAATCGGCCCAAGGCTGAAAGGTACTGGGAAGTCCCGAGCCCATCCCTTCCCCCCCCCCCCCCCCCTTCAGTGGCCATGGAAATAAAAATACTTGCTTTTGGTACTTGATTTAACCCCCCAAGGGGGGGGGCCAAGGGCACAAATGGAAAAAGCCCGGTTTATATCCCCAACAGCCCCGGAATCCCCTGCAACCCTCCCTGAAAGCTTTCAGCTGGGGAAACAGCTACCGCCTTACTGGAGGTGTTGAAATGGGATGGTTCCGTGTTGCACGCAATTTGTGTATGTCATTCTGTGTCAAGGGGGGCCAAAAATTGTGGATTCCCTTTCGGCTCCCCTTCACAACGTCTAAAAAAAACACCCCAGAAAGGAACCGAACCCCCAAAAGGCAGCGAGCCACACCCACCTTTGTATGTCATTCTCTGTCAATGGGGGCCAAAAAATGGTGGATGTTCCCTTTAACAGGGAAACCGAGCCACCCCCAAACGGCCTGCCCCCCCCAAAAAAAAAAAGATACCGCGTCGAGGCGCTGTGCCCCTTCGTCCTGGGGTGCGAGTAGATCTCAAAGTCGTTTCCGCCTTCGAACCTCTCCGGAGCGACAAAATCCGATGAGCGCGCGGCCCGAGAAATCTGGCCATTTGGCCATGGGCCAAAATCCAAAGCCCGTAGCCCCAGTGAACATCCCATTCAATCCTCATTCAAATAGACCAAAATGTGAGTAGCGCACCTATCCCCAAATGGGATACCATTGGGTTTGAACCATGGCCATTTCAGTAGGAGAGGTCAGAATCAGGGCACCAACTTCTTTTTCCTTTTTGGTCTCTTTGAGTAGGGGAACCGAATCTCCCCCCCAAAAAAGGAAACGGCAAAAGAAAGTTGGCACCGAGGGACCGCCCGTCAACGAGGTAGGCCCCGGCTTGCGTCAGGTGGAGTGGCTCGCCTTTTGGCTCCGGGAAACCGAGGCCAAAGGAACGCGTCCTCCTCCGAGAGACTCGCTTTGAGAAGCCCAAGACTCAAAGCTTCACCTTGCCTCACCGGCTGAGTGGATGGCCCCCAAAAAAGGTCCGAACTTTGTAAATTGCCGCTAAAATGGTCCAAACCCAAGAAGTTTAAAGTACTCAGGAACTCAGGAAGTGAGTATTACAGGGGCGGACAATGATCCTCAGGGTCTGGCGTGCTGGGCTACAAAGTCTATGGCTTGCCAGGGCTCCCAGGCCTCAAGAGCATTTCTGCCTGGGATTTGCTGAGGCTTGGTACCCCCTTGTGGGTTGGTTTTTGTTTGGGGGAAACTGACAGGAAAAAGCAGCCAGCTTGGGAGTGCAAATCCGCGATTTTGACATATACCAATTGATCACTTCAGAAGTGAGGAAGCCGCCCAAGTGCGAAAGTTTCTCGAAAACTGAGCTCCGTCCTGAGAGAAAGGGCACGCATACCTCCGCTCCGACCTCCAAAACCCCAAAGAAATGGGTGCGCCAGCCCTGAGTGTTGGGTAAGGGAGGTGCATGCTGGTCCCCTCAATGTCAAGATGTGTTTGGAGTGCGCATGCCAAAGTACAATTGCGACAAAAATATTTTGTCTCAAAATAGGGAACCTCCCAGTATGAGCTATGTTCTGTGTGTGTCCTTTTCAAACGCCAGACATCAGAAAGGGTACCCTCAAGAAAGCACCCCAGCGTTTTGCTGGAACCAACAGCGCGAGGGCGAATGACGGTCGCATGTTCGAACACTTGTGTCGCCTCTCGAGGTAACTTCCCCATTCTGGCCAAAAGCTTATTTTCTTCAACAGAAACCAGAAACCATCGAATCTACGAGAAAGCTGCAGGTGATTGAAAAAAGGCAATGTTTGCAGGGAATGGCCATGAAGTGCACAAGCTGTTCAATAACTCCGAGACCTGAAATACCATTACCCCCAAGAAAACCTGACGCATATGGCGATTCATGGAGAGCCACTAGGTGAGCTCGCCGATCAAACCTCCAGGTGGTTTCTCCTTACATGGCGGACGGCCCCCTTTTGGTTGGAAGTTCAACCGGAAACGAAAGCAATGCCACCATTTCAACCGGAAACAAAAGGACCCCCGGGCCCACCATTTCAACCGGAAAAAGGACCCCCGCCATCTTATCGAGGCTCGTCTTTTCGTCCCAGGAAACCGGTCTCGAACTTGGCATCCCCGCGTCTTGTCGCCGAAGAAATGGATCTCATCGAACTCGGCCTCCGGGAGGTACCGCAGGCAGTAGGTCTTGTCCCAGCCAGTCCTGGCATTCGAATGCTCGGATGGCTCTGATGCGAGGCAGACCCACTGGAGGGATGGCTCTAAATTCCATTCGCGGGGATGCTTGTCAATACAAAGGGTGGGCGGGGCCATCCATTCAGTCCACATATATATATATATACACACTGTGTACATGTCGCATCATGTCATTAGGAAAACTTGTCACTTTGAAATAACAAAAAGTGACACATTTCGGACAACACGTGTGCACGTCAATGCAGGGAATAATGTCGACCTATGATTAATAACCCCCCCACCCCGATTAAAGTTATGTTGTGGGCTGGCACCGATTCATAGCCCCCCCCAAATAAAGTTATCTTGTTTCTGAGCGGGGTGGGTGGGTGGGTGGGTGGGTGGGTGGGTGGGTGGGTGGGTGGGTGGGTGGGTGGGTGGGTGGGTGGGTGGGTGGGTGGGTGGGTGGGTGGGTGGGTGGGTGGGTGGGTGGGTGGGTGGGTGGGTGGGTGGGTGGGTGGGTGGGTGGGTGGGTGGGTGGGTGGGTGGGTGGGTTGGGGATAGTCACGTTTGGGCCATGTTGATGTCACATGTCATTTTCTCCCAGACTCCCTGCTGGAGTGCCCGCCCTGCCCAACTTTTGTCCCAGCCTTTGGGGGCCTGAAAGAGGCACTGCGAGAGGGGAACAACACTCTTTGGGCGACGTGTTTTACAACTCAACTTTCATTCCATTTCCGTACACGAAGCAAAAACTTGAAAGCTGCCAGTAGCATACTTTGAAAGCCCGAATGTGATTTTTCGAGAAAGGGTGTCTTCGAGAAAGCGTGTCGACCACTGTTTCCCTGGGAAGCGGGGGGGAGGTTATACACATAGGTGTCCTTTTGGTCCAATAGATGGCCCTGGTAAATGGCATGAAACTAATCTAAATTAGTGCCATCTATTTCTAACCAAACCAACCCAATCATGACACCTATGGTTATAGACCACCTTCCTCCAACAATCCTGGAGGCTGACGGGAGGGCTACTGTTTTCCCGTTTTGGGGAAGCCCCAGTGCGGTGGCGCCAAATCGCGCAGGTCGATGATCGTAGTTGTTTATCCCGTTTCCAACATGTTTTTTTTTTTCCCTTTTTTTTTAAATACTGTTTCTAACAATGATGGAAATACGGGAGGGTTTGGAAGGCGTCCATCATCTCCAACGGATCTCTTGTTCACTTCCATGATTTTTGGAAAGAGGGTTCTCCACATGTTTCCCGTTTGGGTAGCGGAAATCATCTTGAGACGGATGGAGCTCCCACCGTTTCCGTACTCGCTCCCTTCCTTGACATGGCGGCATGCGACCATGGTTCTGCCCCTGACGCGCAACGCCCCCACCCCTACCTGGAAACCATGAGTCGTCTTCTTGATCATGTATTATGTTATTATTATGTTATTATTATGTTCCTTTTGCTAACCAACGGAAACCATCCTCCCTATATGTTGATTAGGCTGTGGGGATGACGTGGGGATGCCAAGCCTTCTCATGGCAATGCCCTTGACCCTTCTCCAAATTGCCGCCAAAGTCTCGGGAAAACGTCGAAGGAGATCTGGCCGCCTGCGCTAAACACAAGCTGCTAGCTTGCAAGAAGGCCTCGTCCGTCGTTTGTTTAGCTTCGCTCTCTGGTCCCACTACCTTGCACAAGCACCCGGAAGTCTGGACCTTACATTTTGTAGAAATCACTAAAACTGAACCAACGTCGGAACACCGCGAATCCGGTGTGCTGCAAAGTTGGTTGCCGTTTGGGTCGCGATGACGAAAACTGATATCCGACTTAGGATGCAATATCCATATACCAAGTGATTTTCTACTGGCGTTTTACTCGCACTTGGTGAGAGGTGTGCTCCAATCATTGTCAAAAGATAGGGATGCCGGACACTAGGGCTCTTAGGCAGGAAACGGTGGGTGTGATGCTTCCCATGATCTTTGCCCCAAGAACAATAATCAACATGGGGAGGCACTCCTGTGACCGGCAGCCTCTCACACCTGGGCCTCTGGTTTCAATGACATGATCTTGTGTTGATGGACGTCCCATAGCATGCATTTGCTTGTTCATGCTCTATTACTCAAGTCCGTTCCCCACGCTCCCAGTCGGCTGAATTGTGGACCTCTGGCGCCGTCATTGCTCCTGAGAGTGTTTGGAGTCTCCAAAACCTCCGCAAACATGCGGTCATGGAGACTCCAGGTATGCAGGCAAGGTGTGATGCTTGAAGGTGCTCGACCTAGTCCATAGGCTTCTGGGAAGATTAGTTTACCAGGAAAACAAGTGATTTCACCGCATGCAGGTCCATTACATTGCATGGGAATCTTTCAGTTCAGGCTCGTTAATTTCAGCAGTTTGTCCGGATGCTTCGGCCTCCGGTCCCCTCGACATATTCGGAGCCTATGGAGTAAGTGAGGCCGAGGTCTGCAAACTCCTCGGTCATCTTCTTGACCATGGTCTGCGCACGTGCTTGGACCATGTGAGATCTGGAACTGGCTTCTTTGCCTTTCAAGGGGGTTTGTCAGAATTTCAGACAGCGAGTGATACTCATCCCCCCCAAGCACGCATTTCCCACAAACAACCCACCACTGCAAAAAGAACCAAGAGGTTGCTTCTCAAACTCGGGGCTTTCCTTTTTGGATGGCTTAAAACAAGGAAACCAACCCTGAAGTCCCTTTTGAGAAGACCCAGGTGGCTGGTTGCACATGATTCCTTGTGTGCCCTTTTGAAACGTGAATTTATCCGCCGGTGATGCCGGGGGGGCTTCACTTGAATTCTGATGTTCGGTTTAACATTACTCTTCTTGAAAGGGAAGATGCATCTAAATTGGTCCAGCACACATTGATACCATCCAGGAAGGGAAGTATATGGAGCCCTGTTGCCACCCGAATGAAGGTGGGTTTCTCTCGTAGAAAAAAAAAGGTAATTAGTGAATGGGCGCAAACCCTTTACACAAGGACAGTACACGGGCTGCAGTTCGCTTCCTCCCCGGGCAACCACAACCTCCCCACGGGCAACCAAAATCGGGGCTTTGTCCCAAAATGGCAAGCCCTTTTTCTGGATGGTTCTCAAAGAAAACCAAACCCACCCCGTTTCAGACGTCTAAGATAAATGGGAACAAGCTCAAAATTATCTCTGACAGATCCAGCCCGACAAGGAGGCAATTGAGTTTGGGCCGTGGTAGGGTCACATCCAATTTGCAGCGAAGAACACCAGGTCCGATCAGATTCACAAGGGCTAAAACCATACCGACCATACCTCTTTCTGGCTAAACACCAACCACGACGGGATGTGTATACATAGTCTAGAGCCTGTTCAAAACCAGGTTTTCTGAAATATAGCAAATGTCGCCTTCTTTACTCTGGGGCTGACATCTGCCGCCCAGAACCAACTGAGGAACGTGCTGCGGTGCCTTCCTAATGCCATTGGCCAGGTCGAACTTCTCGAACTCGTTGCCTCATTTGACGCGGAAATGAGTTCTTGCTCAGCAAAAGGGCAGAAGGATGGTAGAAGAAATCTGCACCTGGACTCAAGCTGTCCTTAAACATGGGATATTGCCCCAAACTTACTGCTGACTTCTAGATTTCGCATTCTTGAATGTAGTTTCAGAGTGGGAAGTGCCTGGGGTCTATCTGCTAGCTCTCCGAACAAGTTTGAATCTTGTGGACCTTTATATACCCGCCCCCACACGGGCATCTCGCAGTCACCGCTCGCTCGCCATGCATTCAGCTCAGTGTCTCACGCTCTTCCCGGCTGCAGTTTCGGCCAATGGGGGAGAGGTTCATCATACCCTCGTGCGCCGGAGTCAGCGCTGTGTGGCCAAGCAAAGGTGCAAAGGCCAATGCAAACCTCTTGACACATCGGGGTTCAACATTTGTTGGACTCTTTGGTGCCATTCTGAAGCCGGTCACTTCACAAACACCTGAGTTCACAGGGGAAAAGCAAAAAACACACACGCCCTTCTGAATCTTGCTGGGAGCGCCTGGGCTCATGAACCCCTGGTTCGTTGGCAGAGCTCTAAAGCAAACGCTGCCGAATCCACCAGGTGCTTCTGCAGAGTGGATCCCAGCCAAGCCCTTATAGTGTGTAACCCTTCGCTAATTTCCGTTTGGTCTGGCAAGGTTCTCTTGGCACACAGGAGGCTCCCACAATATAGCATAGTTCCCACAATATAGCATGGCTCCCACATACAGTTTTGTAAGCCCTTGTCATAGATTCCGGTGGTAACCTTTACAGGTAAATGGATCCATTGGGCACGGCTTGTATTGTTGGTCTGGCTCTGCGCGTATCAAATCGGCATCTCAGGTGCCTGTGGCCAAGCCAAGGCAGCCTGTAAGAGGTGCAGAGCATCAAAATAGCCATGCCGGTTGTGTTAAACTTGGGGCCGCCCCAAAATGGTTTCGCTTTTGGTGGGTTCAATGCAACTCCTTGATTCCCCAAAAAGCTATCCTCCCTCCAACAATCATGGAAGCTGACAGGAGGGTCTTGGAAGACTACTTTCCTTTTGGGGCACCCCCCTGTCCACATTTCCATGATTGTTGGAAAGAGAGTAAAGTCTAAAGATCCAACCCAAGAGCAATCAAAATGAAAGCTCCCCGAATCCCTCTAAAACAAGGTGCGCGGCAGCCCCCCCCAACGGAATATGTTTCTTTCTTTTTTGTTGGGGGTTGTTGGGGGCGTCCATGCGAGACAAATCTAAACCGCGGGGAAAGTAGCACGGCTCCCTATACTTCCCTTGAAACGCTACCCGTTCCAAGGAGAACTCACTTAAAATGGACTAGCTAGGTGAGGTTTAAACCCACCCCGCAACGAAAAAATGGGGACCCCCAAGCAAACCTGTTTAAACCACCAAAGCATTGATAAATTATGATCAATATAGGGACCCCCCAGCAAACCCAGCCGCAAACTTCGCGGAGTTCGCCTGTCGGAACTCCACAAAGGTGCCGCGCTTCACCGGAATGTCTAGGTCCGCGAAGTATCTGCAGCAGCTTGGAAACAGCTTGCCCTAGCCCCCTCCCCAGTGGATCTAGGCCCCGGGAAAACCCTGATATTCCATATATATTTCTATATTTATTAAAATTTATGTATACTATTGTTTGGCAAGCAACGAGGCAACAAGGAAAAACATGAGGATGTTACGTTTAGCACAAGGTTTCTACATGGTTTTCCCTTACCCGCCTGGATCTGAGTCCAAAAGCAATTCGGCATCACGTGATTTTACTGTAACTGCCCCCAGCACCCCCCAAACATACCACCCCAAAACACACCTCCATGTTTTAGTCGTCCCAAAGGGGATGCATTTGAGGAGTGGTGTGGGGAATCTCATTTAGGGGGTATGACACTGCTTAGGGGGCCCTACCTTTTGGGCGGGGGGGGCTTAAACTCCGAGCCCTGGCACCGGGTTTCTTCGTCGCGAGTTGCCGCTTCGTGGATGTGAGATTGCAGCCCTGCACATTGACGTGGAGACCCAAACATCCAACGCCATGCATTTTTGGAAAAGGAGCCCCTTGTTGGGCTCCATGTCCATTTATTTGGAGGGGGAATCACTCACAATGTCCTTTTCCAGCCAACGGGGACAACTCAAAATGATCTTGGGCAAAAGGAGGGAATCGGATGAGATGCGGGCCACAAGTCAACAGTGGCGCTTCCCCACCACTAAGAGAGAACGTGCTGGCATGTCGACCAAAAGGTCAAACACCAACTTCGGGGGTGACAGTTGCTTGTGTGGGAACTGTAAACCAATTGAACATGATACAGTATGTCTGTTCTGCCTCACTTGCCGAAGGTCTTGGAAACAAGGGGTAAACTCTTTGAAGAACTTACTTGAATAATGTTGACTCCATATTACTCGACCCCTGTTTATTAGTCGGGGGGTGTCCCTGCGTGAAATGAGGGAATCAGACCACTTTTGGAGAGCCAAAACCACCCCCCAAATTCATCAACCGGGGATGATTAATATAGGCTCAGTAGGGAATGAACCAGTAGGAAAACCACCCCCTAATTTCCTGGTTGGTTGATTAGTATGGGGTCGACATTGAAGCGAAAAGGTGTTATCGACTCGCCATATGGCTGTGGGTCAAAATCCCGTACCCCCTAAAATCCCGAGGTGCACCTACCAACGGGATCTTATTGGTTTTGACCCACGGCCATATGTTTCCGAGCCTCAGCACCCAGTTGATCAGCTTCTTCAGCTTCTCCTAGCATCAAGCAAGACCATCCTGGACACTTCAGGAGGGAGGGGGGGGTGGGGGTGTTGGGTGGGGTGGGGGTGGGGGCGGTGGTGGGTGGGTGGGGTGGGGTGTTGGCATTCTTTTTGGGCCCTGGAGCCCTCCAAAACGCCCAGGATCAGCCCATAGCCCCCCATGCCCCTTAGCCCATTGGTTCATACCAGAGCCTGACAGCTTCAACGAGCCCGTCGGCACAAGGGTCTTAAGGGACACCAAGGGACACCCCTTCACCAAGTTTCTATCTGATTGTCAATATGTCAAGTGCAAGTCAGCGCTGCTTACCATGATCTCCTGAAAACCTGAAACTCCCCTGTCCACAAGCGAAGCCAGCTTAAGCCCTGCATCAGGGGCCATCTTATCTGACTATACAAAAAAAAAACGCTACCCCAAACTGATACGCCCTGTTCTAAGGCACTTCCCAACCGGGTACAGTAGTCTTTTTGCATGGTCCAGAGTCCACGCTTGTCCACGCGAATTTGACCTATCCCTTTCTGCATTGCGATTTTACCGTCCCAACAAACAACCAATATCAGCTAACTACAGTCGCACATGGTGTGGTGCCAAACAGCTTGTCGCATGTTGATGTCTATTGAATACTAAGTTCACACACACTGCCAGACTTTGTTTGATCTTTATTTTTACATATGGCCTAGTGAATCCAGAAACCCCGCTAGGTAACCAACAAGCACATCATGCTATGCCATAGTGGCAACTCCGGTGAAACCGCCAATCCCCTTCAGGCAAAAGAATGCAATGCAGATTTATATGTATATATGTATATACATACCTGGGACCTCCTAAGAGTGCATTTGTCTGTGCTGTTTGGGCCAAAGGCTCCTTTTGGTGCAAGCAGCACATTTTGTGCCTGAGTGCATTTTGCGAAACCAGGATGAAGACGAGAAGGCGACACTGAAAAGGCGACATTCCCCGACCAAAAAGCGATATTTGCCGACCACGTTCTGGCAAGATTTTGAAGCAGCACTTTTGAAAGGAAAAGGCTCTTTTTGGAGCAAACGACACAACATATTGCTTGTTCAGCAAGCGGCAGAAAAAATGCACACCTGGAGAGTCTAGGTATATATCCCTTGCGACTGGATCCGCTGGATTGAATCAGCAAAGCCACTCCAGCGCCCGTCTCACCCATTGACTTTTGGCCCAAGGGGGGGTTGGGGGTTGGGCGCTGCTCAATTGATTGTCCCTCTTTGTAACTCTCTTTCATCCTGCCTCGCCGAGATGATCCTTGATGGATGTCTCGCCGATCTTCTGGCCGTCCTCCAATCGAACTCACTCTGGGCAAAACACAGTTGTGGACCAACCCCTCCCCCCCAAATGCCTCGTGTTCAAGTCCTTTGGAAGGTGGGTTCGGTTTCTATGACGCAAGCATAAGCTCGCACGCTCGTCAAGCTCTGGCACACATGAGCGGCATCGCCTTAAGGCATGCCCAAACATGGCAACCCGTTTTGGCACGCACCAAGGCAAGGCATCAACCTCTAAAAGCCTGTGCCGGCAGGTTTCGATGGGCAAGAATCTCGAACTCCAGCACACGGAAACACCATGTTTGACTGGGTAAGGAAAGCCTGGGCACCGGATCATAAGTCTGACAAAAACTTGGACAACATGCAGGACTCCTGCCGGTCTTCAAACCAAGCCCTCTTCTAAAGTGACCTTTAGACTTGGACAATATGTCGCAGCATTACGCAAGTTTGATTTCCGTCCCGGTCCACGGTCTCCTTGGGCAACCCGTTCGCCCCACAAAAAGAGTGGTGCCCCTTATTCAAGAGAAGCCCCATAAGATACATATTAATTTACCCCGTTTAGCCGGTTGAATTTTGGATGGCGCCGAAAGCCGTCCAAAGGCAACCAGGGCCTGTCCTTAAACGCTAGCAGGCCATTCTCAGAGAAGGCGTAGTCAAACAGAGCTGGGCCTCAGCATTGCCCGAAGCCAGGCGTGCCGCAAGGAAAATCAACAGAAACGAGGCAGGCAAAGGTAAACTTCCCCTTGTTTGCAGCATCTTAGGAGCACTTTGATTATTTTCTCCGTCTCCCACCTGCAAGCATCTTGTGTCAACATTAGCAACAGACCAGTGATTATTGTCTCAAAGCCAGAGAGACCTGGTTCTGACACATGCCCAGGATGTCACTGAAAGCTCGCCATTGTATTCCTGCAAACCCCGTCACGTTTGTCCTGATGCTGTGCCTATGGGCACCTTCAACACAATGCTCACTCAGTGTAGAGCATCAAGCAGCGAACAAACTACAGCAGTTGCATGAAAAAGTTGATCTAAAACCCAGCAGCGTGCATCTCCGAGAGTCTCCATGACCCTCAGATGGGGGCATGTACCCAAAGTCAATGATTCTTCAGGGTCTCGGCTTCATTTCCACCCGCTTACTTTCGACTGTCCCTTGAACCAATCCCAAAACCCACGGCCCAAACCCCGACGTGGCCCTCGGTCCGGGTGTCCGGCTGTCGCCGAGCTGCTCCTTTTGCTTCACAAGATCGGAGCCCCCCACGACGCCGATGCAGATCTTTGTCCGCAGCTCCTCGGAAGAACCACCGAGCTGCAGAAAGATTCCATGGGTCCCAAGTGTTTAGCCTTTTAGTTGGTTTGGTGGTGGGTTCCGAATGTAACCCAAGTTATTCTTTCTTAACTTGGATTTGCTTCTGTAGTGTTCCCTAATTTCCCAACACATCACCCCACCAAAAGAAAACAAAAGGCTGATGTTGAACACCCACAAAAGGGGGACATATGGGGAACCCCTTTCGGACCCCTCGTTTGATTGGTGTTAGGGAAGCCACAGGAAATTTTTAGGCCAAGAGGCGTTGTTTTTTTGAAACACCCACAACGCACTCGGAAGTTGACGGTCTCCTTCGCGCCAACTCCGGCAGTCCTGCAGATAAGTCAGCGTCTCCGGGGACACCAATTTCCGTGGCTCCGTCAGTGTCCCGTCCACATCAAAAAGGGCGAGGATGCCTGGCGAGCAGTTCGAAGCCCCCCAAAAATGAGGGCGCGCTAAGGGGGGAAGATATGGGTTGGGCCTCCAAATGTACCACCAAAATGGCTTGCGTTTTTTTTTTGGGGTTGCAGCCACAAGGAAACAAGGCCCAAACAAAAAAAAGCCAATCCCGCACGCAACAAGTGGCACCCACTTTGCCCTCCAAATCCAAAGATCCTTGAGGGCGCAAGCCTGAGATGCCAAACCAAACAAGCGAACCTATACTTTCAGGACACGCTTTTGCCCGGACCACCCCGGGAAAATTGACCTCCAGCGCAGATAAAGCGATGGCATTACTCCCCACAAGCACACGCTTCCGGTCTTCCAGTTCCGCTGAGACCAGCGCGATGCAAGGCGATTGACACTTCTAGGCCACAAGGATCCGAAAGATGGACGGCAACTGTGTTGTTGCTTGCAAGCCCAACGGCATCTGTCGCAAAACCCGAGTAACTTGCCGTTCATTGCACTTGCAATGCAGACATACATACATATATATATATATATAGACATATACATAAAAAAAAGAAAATATGCATATATATATATATATATATATTTATCTACATATATATATCCTGGACTTTCCAACATGTAAAATTAACGCCGTTTCCCAAAACAGCAATAATTTTCGCCGGTTGCTGAAAAAAACGCTCTTTCGGAGAAAAAGCGCTCGCCGTGAGTCCAGCTCGGAACCAGGCAAAAAAAAACGCCGTTTCGCCGGCAAATTACGCCGTTTTGACGGCAAATTACGCCGTTTTGCAATTTTGATTGATGCTAGAGTGTGCAAACACTGAAAACTGCCGGCAGGCGAAAATAACCGCCGTTGGGTCAAAAAACATAGTTTTGGACAAAACAGCAATGATTTTGCACATGTTGGAAGACCTATATATATATTATATATATATATATATTCAGGGCGTCCAGCAAGAAACTTGCCGGCCGCACGCTTGTTCTTGCTCATCTCTGCCCGATAGACCTCGCAACCGGCTCACCCTCTTGGCTTGGGTGATCTGATCAACGCTGCGGCTTCCATTTGGTGGGGTCATGTGTGGAACAAATGTAGGCCATACTGTGGATAGACCAAATCTATTTCGCACCACGAGATGAAACCATGGTTGAAACCATTGTTTATTGGTATTTACAGCGGAATCGAATCATTCCAGGGTTTCTTAGGTGGTGCTGCTTTTCGTCCATCCACGGTAGTAAAGCAAAGCTTTGGGATTCCTCCAGTTCCCCCTCAATCACCCCATGCAAATTCCGATTTAGACGTGACACACACACACACATGGGATGATTCCAAAGCAATAGCATCGGCACCCAGGCAAAAATCAGCTGTCGTGTGAAACCTAGAGACCTCCAGGAATCCCGGGGTTGTTGTCTAGTCTACTCCAGTCATGCTTACCCTATACTCGGCAGGTCGGCTGACCATTGGAGGTGCCTGTTACATGCTGACACAAAGGCGTCCTGTTTGCCCGTCTCCCTGCGGAGCAAACCGTTTGGGGAAAGCCAGGGGCGCGTAGAGTCCCCAAAATGTTCGTTGGAGTTCTAGCCGGAAGAGAGAAACTAGAAGAGATCGGGTTGTTCGAGCCGTTCACCTTTCCGATTGTTGACAGCAACTCCCTCTCTTTCCCAACAAACAGCTCCAGCAGAGGCCTTCCAATAGCCCCGGAAAAAAAAAGGAACAAAGAAACTGATTTCTTGAAAAGGAAACCACTTCAGGTTGCTCATCTTCAGGAGGCCAACTCATGTCGGATTCCCTAGTGCAAGTGAACCAACCCTCCATTTCCTTAAGTCCCCTGAACAAAAAATATCTGGTGCTAGAATCCGTTTCAAACCAACAGGGGGAAATGACCAACACTTCTTAACATGGAAGCGTTCACAAACCCCGCCAAATTCCCCGGGCCCAAACCCCACGGCACTGCCGAGCCGCTGGGTTTTGACCCCACTTTCACAATCCCCGCGGCTTTGAGCAGCGCGCGGCTGCGAGAAAAGCGCCAAGCCAGGGCTCCGGTTTCGCGCCGAGTTCTCACGAGCCTGGATGGCTCCTAAGTCCAAACGGTTTATTTATTATAAAATTATAAGGATGGTATGTCCAAAAAAGTGAGCTCCGCAAAACTTGGAACATGCGCTAGACAACCGCGTGAAGCCAATCAACATCTGCACTATTGTGGCTAGCCCGGATTCAGAACAACGTCCGCGAGCAGCAGCCTCCCAACTGGGAAACTGACCATGGCCCTCATCTCCAAATGGGATATGGTGGGTCGGGGCCGTGGTGACGGGTCTAAAATCAACTTCATGCTTTTACAGCTTCATGGCCAGCACAAGCAGAACAAGCAGAAGAAGCAGAACAAGCAGAAGCCGTGGTGACTGGCAACCATCCCAAGAATTCACCCTTGTTCGCCTTGGCCAAACGCGCCACAAAAAGCCCAATCTCCTTGAGCGGTTATTTTTCACACGTCGATGACTCCCTCCGCGGCACTTCCCGAAGGAAGATACATCCGGTTTTGCCGGAACCTCAGCGACGGCCGTGGACAAAAGCCAATCAACGGCTCGGCTTTGGGTGGGTTTAGGAGTGCTTTGGGGTTGGTTTGGGTTTGGCTCAGGGTTTGGCTTAGGGTCGGCTTAGGCTTGTCGGCTGGGCTCAGGAAACCTCAGGAAGATTCACCAGCCTGAATTCAGGGAAAGCTAAGGATCTTCATGAGCTCGCTGTATCCCCAGGTGACCGCCTGATAACTGGTGCCCAATTCTGCAACATGCAAATTTGCAAATACAAACGTATTTTGATTATCTATTTATATATATATATATAAATATGTATTTATTATATGCATTTGTGCTACTCCCCCCCCCCCCGACGAAGGTCCAGTCAAACTTGACAGGTGTCTATAATGCTTTTGGGGATTTTGGTGTCTACAGGTGTCTTTCAAGTCCGCCCACAAAAACCTGAAGCGATGCCCAGCACGCATGCCATCGCCTGCTTTAGACGCGCGCCGCTGCCTCAAAGCACCGGAATCTTCCAATGCTCGAAGATTTGCGTCGTAAGCATACCTCTGCCAGAATGACCAGGTAGTGCACGCCACTGATTTCTGTCACCCGAGGCAGCTGTCCAGACGGCACAGGTGCCAGCTTTCAAAGCCGACTGGCTGCTACCGCCATCTTCGCCGCGCCGTCCAGTGTTGTCAGTTGCTCCAGCTTGCAAGCTGAAGGCGTTGCAGGCAATGGCATGGGCAGCTGTGTTGCTTCTATGACTGGACATATGGTCCGTAGCACTGTCAATTTGAAGGCAGCTATAGACTTTGATGGAAACCGCAACGATACACCTATGTTTGACACCCACTTTGAATATCAGAAACTGCATTTGACGAGGTTGCAGCCCGACGTGTGGCATCCACAAACGGTGTGGCCATGCAATGTTGCAGGCATAAACCCCAAAACAACAAGTCATGCAGAAAAGACAACATGGTTGGTGTTTGTTGCGGAACACTACCTCGGTTCAACATATATCAGCTTCCCTGTACTTGGTGCTTTGAAATGGTGGTTTGGAGGTGGGGCGGTTCCCCATCTGCCTTCTACAAGAACCAGTGCTACCTGACTCTGGGCTTCCTTTTTGACGCATAGCTGGCCTGCACAATTGCTGGAGGGCGTCCTATGCAACATCCAACCGTGTGATGCAACTGACACAAAATGCTGGTGCTTCTCTGTGAACACATCTTGGGATTAGACTAGACAAGCAGCCTCATTTTTTTAACCAGCAACAGGGCACCACTCATTCAGAGACCCCCAATAGCCATGGGAAGAAACCATGGCATTCTCTTATAGCTGGTTGCTTTGAAAGGGAATCTCCCTCTCCCTCTTCAAAAACAAGAAGAAAAAACGGCGGGAGAATATCGAACCGTTCGCACACAGTTTGCGCCAGATCACCCCGTGGGACACTTGAACCCAATCGCAAATACTCGTGGAAGTGAGAGCTGACTACCATTTTGTCCGCATGCCCTAAACAGCTCGAAGCCTCTTTGAATTGTGGAATCTCAACATCTAAGAATTGGAAAGTCAGCCTTTCTAAACTTGAAGAGACCCTCGAACCCCTCAACATGAACAACAAATTGACCCAGCGCATATGTGTGTCTGACTTGTTTTGGGCAAAGCGTGTTTAAACACCCATCCTTTCCTCCACTAAGTAAAAACTAACCGACAGTTGCTGACAAAAAGGCACAAGCGCTGCCTAAACATGTTTTAAAAGGGAGTCAGGGCCCAATCCCCCGGCTGGCTTCAAACTTCTCCGGGTCTTTGACCAGCTTAGGCGCTTCCTTTTGGCGCTCCTTCACAGGCGGTAAAAAAAAAACACTCTCACACGCGCACACACACACACACAAATTCTACCCCCCCAAGACATCCAGTCAGTTGCCGAACGGATCCGACTGAGGCTCCGAACGACAGCGCCAGGCGGTCTCGTATGAGAACGTCTGCGCCTAGAATCACCTGGCACGATGGACTTCGGAGCCCTGCGCCACCTCACACGCGGTCTGCTGTGATTCGACCCGCCGGAAGAGTCACGCCCAAAGCTTCCCTAAGATGCACAGACTGAATTCAATTCGAATGGAACGAGCAAGAATACCCACGAAAGAGAAACAACGGCCATATTTTTTTTGAGGGCCACTCCAAAACGAGCGAGGATGCTGTTCACAGGCCTCCCAGTAGTCGCAGGGACTACCCAAAAACCCGCTTGGGAAACAAAAGGGGGCCCATTTCGGCCCATTTCCAACCACGGTCAAACGGCAAAACCAGAAGTCTTCCAAGGGGGAACCAAGGAAACCATGAAATTCAGCATTGTGATTGGTTTAAGTTGCAAGACTTGGTTCCCTCTGCTCTTGATCGTACCCTGTCCGGCGTTGCTTTAAAGGGCAATGGACTGGCCCCAAAACAGTTCAACGTTTTGTTGGCCACATCGACATGGTCTTCCAAAAAGTGACTAAGTGTTGGGGTTTTGCAAAACCGCGCATTGTCGGGCATTCAAGCACCCATTTTCGGGTATTCAAGCCCATTTGGACCCATTTTTTCAGGTTATCAAGCCTATTTGGCGACCAACCGTACCTCTCGCCGTCAATTGTTTTTGCCGGGGAGACAGTAGGCCACTCCGTCAATCGGAGCACCTGGCAAAACTCGAAACGGCACCAAAAGGGAGACGAGGTCCGAGGCAGGAAAATGAAGAAGCACGTCTGTGTGCTGCAATCAAGGACCCATGTTTCGATGTTTTGGGTTTAGTGGGGGTGGGGGCAGGTAAAAAAGGATAGCTTCTCCCACATAGGTGTCCTTTTAGGGCAAATAGATGGGTTCCTTTGGTGGATGAGCTAGTTCCCACCAGGTAAACCAGGAATCGCGCTCTGTGTTTCTGCCAAAACCACCAAAAAGGACACCTATGGAAGAAGCACGGCTGTGTGCTGCAATCAAGCACCCTTTCCGGGATGGTTTGCGGTTTGAGGAGGAAGGATAATTGTTTGTGCGTGCAAGACGTAAGCGGCAAGCAAACCTTGTGGCGAAAGCTACAAGTATCTACCTGTAGCTTGGGTGACTGGTTTTCATTCTGGTAGGATTAACCGAACGTATTCATGGAAGTTAGTCTTCCAATGAGGTAAATAGAGTTTTTCCTTCCCAACACTCTGGTGCAAAAAAGGAATCAAACAAAGAAAACAACATTGGCTTCAACTAAAATCAACTGAAGAAAAACAAGCTCGTTTCAACTTGTTCAACCTTTTCAAAAAGCGCAGACATCACAGACAAGACGCAAAGAAAACCAAACAAACACTTTCTGAGTGGACTAGCCCAAAGAAGTCCAGGAACTTCTTTTTTTGTGCCACCAAAATGGTCTTCCCAAAAAGTGTTGAAGTCCAGGAACTCAGGGAGTGAGACAACAAGCACACACTGGTGCAAAAGCGAACACACAAACAAAACATGAAGAACCAACAACGAGAAACTCCCCGAGAAACAAAACCACTGACCCCCTGAAGCCGACTCGACTCCCCGCCTGGAACTCTTCTACGTCCCCCGCCAGGACAATGCCTTCTCGCACCGAGCAGCCCTGAGGCCTCAAACTTTCCCAAAAGGCGAAGCGGGAGTCCTGGGAAACTGGAGCCGAGCTCCACTGGCGCAGTGGTGGCACATTGGCCGAATGGCAAATGAACCAAAGAGACTTTGAGTTGCTTGGCCGAACTAGGTTTTGGGCAACATATGTTCTTGAAAATGGAGGTGTGCTTTGGGTCAAATGCGCTTGACCAAACTACTAGTTTGTTCTCTTTGCTTGTTTGAGTGTTTCTTTTTTTTGGGGGGGGATCGCGTTTGATTTCTTGATTATGTCCTCGAGATCTTCCTCCAGAACGCACTGATTAAATGGGTAGCAGCAAGAAAGGCCACGTGACACACACCCAAATTGGCTCGGGCAAATGATCAAAACCAAAGTGGAACCAGTGGAACTCATCTGTTTGCCACCAAACTCAGCTGGGGATTCATGTCCACCAACCACTTTTGAGATGGTTCTCTCTACATATCTGGGTTGTCCTCAATTCCCCCGCTAAAAGTTCAACTTTTAGTGGGTTGAATGGAACGCCCCCGCTAAACACTAAAAAACGAAAAAAGCTAAGGGGATGGCTAGGAGCCAGCCAGATATACAAATATATATATATATACTCACCCCCCCCCGGAGTAGACTTGACACCTTCAACTAGAAAAGAGGAAAAGTGGGGGGGGACCTTATACATGTATATATATATGTGTATACATATATATATATATATATATACAAATAATATAAATGTATATGTATATGAAGTTCCGTCAAAATTTGTTGTTCACAGTAAGTACGTTCGAATTTAGAGAGTCCCCTATCGTTTTCCAACGTTTGGTCTGTAGCACAAAGGTATCGTTTTTTTGAGAGTCCCCTATCGTTTTCCATGGCTTCAAGCACCTTGAGCTATGTGGATGTCCAAGTGTAGACTACTTTCCTTTTCCGTAAATTCTGACCGCGCTTCATATATATATATATATGAAATGGCCAAAAGAAAATGCGTCGGTCTCAAGAGATGAGGTTTCCCGAGGTCCTGAGGCCAGCACCCGTTGCCAATGCCGAAAACCACATCCAGCTCTTCCACCGAGTGATCCACGTACCTACGGCATCAAAAGCTCAGGGATCTCTCAGAACGGGCCGAGCGTTTAAGGAAGACGAGGTCCTCCAGACTTGAGAGATTAGAATAGAGTAATTACCACCCTTTTTTCTCTAGTCTATTTCAGTACGGGAACCCTCCCCCCCCCAAAAAACAAGTAAAAGGCCACTACTGGGGGACCTAGAAGAGGTAAGGATGCGGCTTAAACCCCGAGCAGGGTCTCATGATCTTAACGGGCTGCACAAGTTCGGACTCTCAGGACTTAGGAGCAACCACTTGTTCTATGAGGGAGGGTTAGCAGTGACCCTCTGTCACCCTTTCAAAGGCGGCCACATCACCCCAAAAGTCAGTGGTCTCAAATCAACCAGGGAGTTTGTGTTCAATCCGGGGTCAAATGATGTTGCAACACCATTGTTTAAAATTCAAACATGCGGGGTCCGCGTCAGAACCCCCAGCCCCAACTTTCGGGCGGAAAGTTCAACTGTCATTCCTGGGGGAACCATCCATTTGTTTGCCGAACCCATTCGCACGGTCCAACCAAGAGTGAATTGCAACGATTCACCAACCCCAAACAAACTTGCAGGCGTCTTTGCCCCCCAACGCTGGTTTAGGCCATCTTCGTTTCGGCCCTGAAATCCTTCCTTTTGCCCATCTTCGTCCCGGGCACTTCTTCTTCTTGCCCTTCACCGGGTTCCCGGCGCCGAAGCCCTGGCAGAGTCACTGCCAAGGAGACGGGTTCAAACCAGCCCCCGGCGCGCGGAAATGCCACCACCGCCGCCCAAACCCAACCAAAACAGGCCCTGAGAACCCTCAAGCCTCATGTCCAAACACTCTTATGGGTTCCAATCAGTTGCATCCTGAGAGGGGAATTGTAAGCTGAAAGGCCAAATGAATTTCTCACAGTCTCTCTCACTCCCTTTGTGGGCTGGCAACGAAAGTCCAAGCTGTTTAGTTACCACAAAAACGGTCCAAAACCCCAAAAGTGACTACAGTCCTGGAACTCAGGGAGTGAAGACCCCCTCAAATATTCGAACCCGAAACCAACCAGAAACCAACCTCAAAACAACCTCAAAACAACCCTAAACCAACCCAAACCTACCTGCCGATCCTAAACGAGTTCCAACATGTAATGCGTGTGTCAATTCTCAACCAACCTGAGCTCTTTGGACACCTACGTGCACATTCTTGGAGACCGGTGTCGAAAGAACAATCAATGACGTGTCGAAAGAACAATCAAAACGATGGGAGGCAACCCCACCCTCCTACGAGCCTTCTATTAAGCAACACCTCCAAACAATAAACACAACGTGGGGGGGGGGTCTGGAAAAACATCCCTTTTGGTTTCCCTTTGGGTAGACTAAAAACACTGGGCTATCTGTACGCAAAGATTTAGACACGTTTCTGAGTGTTCCCCCAAAGGTAGCTGACACAACAGAACGACCAAATTGATCAAGAAACCATGTAGATAACTACATTTATGTAATATTTGTAGCCATGCGCATGTTCCTGGTCAAGTATATAAGTGGCTTGCCCCTCCTTGGTGTGCATGTGCTGGATTATGTTGCGAGTCACACGTATGTAACTATATTCTAGGTTGGCCGTTTACGCACACACACACACACACACACGCTCGCGCTCGCGCAGTAGCCACGATGCTCACGCGTCCAAACGGGAGTCTTCGGGGGCGTTTCTAAGTGTTTACCGCCCAGCTGACTGCAAGCCCGGGCATATGAACCGAGGATGTATCATGTTGTGTGTACCTTACATGTCTCTTCTTAGATTTTAAGGTCTCAAGTTGGCCCGAAACCCAGCGGGCAACTGGGTCACTCGGAACTCCAGCGCTTGTGATTATTTTTGCACCTGCCGGGCGTCAACTTCAGCTTGCTGGCTCCATGGCGGCTATGTAACAGTCAGCTTGATCTTCAAGCTGGGCCACGAATCAGCTCGCTGCACATTGACATTGCTTCAGATTGCGATTAGCAAGACGGGCTGGCGCCACAGCACGCCAGCACCATATCCCGCACTTGCTCAAGAGCCAGGGCAATAGAATTGAAAGGGTCGGTGTTGGACCTTATTGCCTGCAACAAAAGTGAACAACGAGGCCAATTGACAGTGCTTGGGATTTGATGGACAAGCTCTTGGCTCTTGTGCGTCCCTCTAACAAACATGGCAGTACACAGCCCCTCCTAAGACTACCTCCCTTGTGGAATGGAACTGAGGGTTTTTGCGCATGTCCATTTGTCAGGCACCCCCCAACAAACAGGACCACGGGGGATATCCATAAAGATACGTCCAGGCAACATCCAAGCAACCTGAAACACAAAACATCGATCTTCATGCTTGCCTGTGCACGGATATTTAGTTCGCCTTTAAGCCGATGCACGGTGCGCGGTACATCTACTTCAGCACGTTGGGGCACAGGAAGCCAAAGCACGTCACCTCCGGATTCGACTGCTCAACAGGACTTGAGGCACAAGCTTTGTCCACAACTGGGTGGTATCCCTTTGATCCTCCCAAGCCGTGGGCTTATCCAACAACATGTCCAAACTGTGTTGTCCAAATGGAATGCGGAAGCATCAACGTGAAGTCCGGTTTGAGTCTGGCTTAACTTTACGATTATTGAACAGCAAACCAGCAACGTGTGTACCCCCGCCCCCCCAAAAAAAACATAACACAAAGAACAAGGGCGAAGAGAAACCTGCCACAGGGGATTTGCTACTTTGCGATCCAGCAAGGCTCTTTTCGCAGGCAATGCTGTTGTGCTGTCTGCCTAAAATCTTCCGCACAGGACTGTCCCGAGCTCCCCCTTCGCCGGTTACTTTGAATGGGCAGTGAGAGTTAGAACATCCGAAGCGGAAACCGATGTTCCGCTTGGAAAGACAGCCTCGGAAAGTTGAGCAAATCCTTTGGACCTTTTTATGCAGCCCTTCTACAAGTGCTTGCTCTGTTAAACCGGGAATCTTTGAGTTGCAGGTCTTACCGCCTTTCTGCTTGATCATATAGCTGAAACCAGAACCAGCTCACTTCGCGGACAAACGTCCGCTAGCTGAAGGCCTCTGACGCTGGGATCCCTGAAATCCGTGTTGCTTGTGGCTGCGACCTTTGACCGGCTGACCTTTTGGCAAATGAACATGTTGCCAGTTCCCGGCCAAAACAACACATAAGGGTTGCTTCGCCATTCTGTTCAACCATCGTTCTTTTCAAAAACCGGCCGTTTTCCCTGGGTTTCCGGAGGTTTTCTGGAAACAAGGATCCCTGGAAGAATGGGGAAGGCAGCAGTAGAAACTTGGGGTCTAAGACCGACCGATAATTCAACAGCGCTGTACGGCGTTGCGTTTTGTCCGCTAAGAAAAACAGTGGAATCAAGGCCTCGAAACTGAGGTTCCCGAAGGTAACCAAACAAGTATGTTAACAAACTAAGCGAACAAAAAGGGGTCATAGAAGCAAACACAACAACCTTGCTTCATGAACCGAAGGACGGGGCTATTATTGAAGGAATTGGCCAACCTGAAAAACAAGTCACAACCAAACCGTTCAGCAAAGGTTCCAACTATATCATGGGATGATTTAAAAGGAAAGCCAACGAGGCCCCCAAATTAAACTGGCACCCCAAAAGGGGGCTTTTTCAACAAAAGGTGCCCCCATGCGTTTTCTGGTTGGAGGGGTCCATGTTCTGTTCATCCATGTTCTGTCAAGCTCGCAGCTAAATGGAACGCCTGACCTCCATACGCTTCCCGCAACCAACAAATGGGTGTGTCTTTTTGAGGGAACCCATGACATGGGTCAGGCCCATCCCCGCGCGGCTTCCGCTTTTGACCATAGGTGTCCTTTTAGGGGAAATAGATGGCCCTGGTAGATGATTAGCTCCTACCACCAAAAAGGACATCTATGATTGGCCACCTTTTTCTCTATTTGGGTCTATTTCCGGTGTGTAACTCTCCAAGGGATTCCTTTGTTTCTCTTTCGATTCCAGGTGGGGAACCCACCAAATATCAGGCTGGACTCCCGGCCTCCTCCTCCACGATGGTAAAGAGCGGCGCCGTCTTGGCGTGCGCCGATGGCATCGACGCCGCCACGTCCAGCAGCGAGGGCGCTTGAAAGTCCACACTGAGACCTCGGCGACGAAAGATTAGATGACTCGAGCCGGTCGTGCGAAGTGAGGGAAGACGTCGATGTATGGCTGTGTCTTTTTTTGCGGACCCCCCCAAAATAGTGGGGTTTGAGGCGAATTGGGAAGACGTCGATATACTCACTTGAGTGGATGGCCCAAAAAAAGTCCAAACTTTATATTTACCACGAAAATGGTCTTCCCAAAAAGTTTCAAGTTCATGAACTCAGGAAGTGAGTATATGGGTCTGTTTTGGAGGACCCCCAAAATAGTGGGGTCAGCTTTTGGTTTCCCTTCAAAACCACCCCGGAAAGGGGTACCTTCAACAAAAAACGCACCCATATGCGTGCATGTAATGACCAAAGTATATCATCTATGTGTGTGTGTGTGTGCAAGCAAACATACCAAACGCACATACTGCACATATGATAAATGTAGACATGTGAAAGTAACGCATACACATCTGATCATGCCGTATGTCCCAACATGTCTGCCACCTTTTGGATTCTCAGAAGCACCCGCCCTGGGAAACAAAGCAACTCGAAACCGAAATTTGCCCTCATCCCCGTTCCCAGTGCTTCTTTGTTTGTCTGAGTTGAGACAACCGCCTGTGGGTCAAGGACAGGTACCAAAAATGGGTTGCCCTAGTAAGTGGAAACACAGACTAAAACCTGCGGTCCCCTGGTGGTTAACTTTTGACCCACGTGCTTCTCTGGCTTGAAGTTGAACATTCCCCAATCCCTTTGCCCATAAGCCGGCTTGTTGGGTCAGAGTGGATTACCTTCAGTTGAACATCCTTCCGCGAGGCCCGTCCTGCGTCAGCTGCCGTCAGCTAAACCAGCGGTTTGGATCAGGGTTCCACAGAATATTATCCACTTGCAAAAGCATGCCACGATCGCTTTCCCAGAGTGTCCCAAGTACCCCATATATTTACGGCTTTGGGTTTGGTTCCGTCGGGGATTCGTCGATTACAGCTTCCTCAAATCCACCAATATGAAGTACCAAGACACCCTCTGGGTTTGTATCTCTTTCCGGGTTTGGGTCAGGGTTGCCCAACATCTTCTCTACCTACAAAAGCATGCCGCCGCTGTAGCCTCGCTCGGAAGCTCTACAAGATCCCGCCAAGATGCGCTGGAGGCTGTCGCATTGCTGGTCCACCCCGATGGAGGGCTTGTCCTTGCCTCGCGCAAACCGCAAAGAGAGCGTGACCCGTCTCGCACGTAACGAGTGGACGACCCAAAAAGGAGAAAAACTAAAAACTGCTTACCGCCGACACGACTTTATGATATATCATATATGCTCCTCTTGGCTCGCGCGCGCGCGGGTGTGTGTGTGTGTGTGTGTGTTTGTATTGGAGAGCGACATATCGGAGCCTTGGCCATGCCTTCATCGGTCTTTGGTGTGTGTGTGTGTGGGTGTGTGTGTGTGTGTGCGTGTGTGTCTGTAATTTGCCGACGGTGCTTTGTGGGTCTTCGTAGAACTTGATTTCGTGGTTGTCTTTTTTGTTGTCTTGAAGTGTTCGGGCTGGCGAACATTACTTGGGTCTTTCCTTGACTTTCTGATCGCGTGGGGCTGAAACCTGTCAGGATTCTTACAAACAAGTCACATCAACATACACATCGTCTTTGGGTCTCCTTTAGGCAAAGCCAAGAACCACGGGGCGATTTTTGCCACCCTCCGGTCTTCCCAACCCCCCCCCCAGGTCCCAGGAGGCTCCTTCGCGGAAGCCCACGCAGAGGCGCAACTCCTTGGCCAGATCCGGGTGGATCTCTGAGACCTCAAGGGCCAAACTGTTGGCTTTCACTAAATTAACATGGGCTTCCCGCCCCCCTCCCCCCCCCCCTGAGAAAAAAAGGGGTCAAGAGGGCTCCCCCCCCTCCCTCCGAAAAAAGGGGTCGAGACGGCTTCCCCCCAAAAACAAAACCCATGAACTCAAGTCGATCCAGGAACTTTGGGAGTGCCAACTGCCAGGTCCAGCAACTCCGCGAGTGAGTCAACTATTAAGAGACAAACACATGCCCCAACATGATGGGCAAGGCCGCATTACATGTTTTGCCGTGTTGGGTTTTGTGGGGGGGCAGGCAAAAAAAAAGCATCTCCTCGGTTGCTTTCTGCTCCCCTGCTAAAAGTGAAAGACTTTTAGTGAAAGTTGGCAAAAAGTCTTGGCAAAATGCACCAAAGCAGTCACACACACACACACAACATCACACAACACACACACACACACAAACACTCAAAAACATAAACGTGAACATGTCCACGTAGATAATTAATCCACCAAACCAGGCATCGCCCTCTATGTTTCTAGTAAAACAAGCAACAAGAACACCTGTGATCTCCCAGGTCTTCGAGGCGCTGGATGTTCGTGGTCCACCGGCAGCGCGAAGTCGAAGCCCTCCGTGCCCGTGCAGCGGCCCTCGGCCTCAAAGCGCCGTCGCGTGGTTTGGTGGTAGACGGGGCCCGTGGGACCTCCGATGGCGTAGGGGGGGCCTTTGGGTTCCCTCTAGAGCACCAAGGCTTTCCTATGATGATGATGATGATGATGATGATGATGATGATGATGATGATGATGATGATGATGATGATGATGCTGATGCTGATGCTGATGCTGATGCTGATGATGATAATAATGATGATGATGATGATGATGACATTGTTTGTCTGTTTCTTTGTTTCTTTGTGTTTTTTTTTTGTTTTGTTTGTTTGTTTGTTTGTTTGCTTGCTTGCTTGCTTGCTTGCTTGCTTGCTTGCTTGCTTGTTTGTTTGTTTGTTTGTTTGTTTGTTTGTTTGTTGGGTTCCCGTCAGTGGATTCAGAGCACCAAGTGCGAACTGGGGAACCATGGTATGTCTGAAAATAAACTGCACCCACCAAAATCCGCGGTCACTCAATTTCCAAATTTCCCGGAACAAGAGTGGAATCTTTACGCCAGCAAATTGCAACCATTTTTCCCTGAATCCATGGTTGCCCACTTGCCATGGACCAAGGTCCCCTTAGTCGGCTACAGCCTGCTTTGCGACTAAAATGCCCTCGCAATCTACAGTCACGGACACCTGCACATAAAGGACATCTCAATTTCCCAGTCTCTGGGCATTCCTGCACACAGTTCAGAGCATTGTGGGCGGAAGGTTCCCGGGCTTCACAGAAGTAAGAAAATCAAACATGGTTGGGCCCACCCTGCAGTTTGAACATGCATAAACAATCTCCTCGGTGCTTTGCATTTCAAGCAAACCAAATCGGGTCTGGTTCTTCCACTCATGTTGCAACCAACCCTCCTTCCCCACCGCCGAGCAAAAAGCAGAACACCGTGATGTTGACCCCAGATTAATCAACCCCAGTTTATTCATATGGGGGTGTTCCCCTCTAGAAGTGGTCTGATTCCCCACTAAACCCAGGGAGAAGCACCCCCCCTTTTAGTAAACTGGGGTGGATGAATTTGGGGTCAACATTAACGGCAACTCAGATGCCCAGTGGCAATGGGAAAAAAAAGGGCACCCTTTTGTGTTAGTTGAGTTTGAAAGGGGAACCCCTTCCTCGAAAAAGAAAAAGAAAACAGGGCACCGCTGGGCAACATGGCAAGAAATCCGCTCGGCCCGAGGCGCCCGGATCACGTCCCCCGCCGCGTTCGGCACGCAGAAGAGGCGGTCGCTCTGCAGCGCGAACTTGGCGCGGCGCGCCGCGAAACGCGCCACGTGGGTGAACTCCCCCGAGTCGCAGTCCTGAGACGAGGGGACAAGTCACTCACCAGTTTCAGGGCCCCTGGGGTGACCGCCCAACAACAGACCCCCCAACTCAAAGGGAGTGGGATGAATAAGACCCGCTGATCAACTGGTGGTCAGGTAAGCTTGGGTTTGGAGGTCGAGGTTGTTGTTTTTTGAGGGCACGCTGTTCAGAATGGTTTCAAGGGAGCCGAAAAAAAACCTGCCCATTTGTTTCTTGCTTGATTGCTTGTTTTCGTTTTTTTTTTTTAGGGGGGGGGGCTTTTTGACACAGCGTTGTCATGGTTTAAGAGGCCAAACGGGAAGGAAACCAAGCAGGGAATTGTCATATGAGGCCAACCAAGCCCAAACAAATGGTCTGGAAAAGATAAACGAGCATTACTCCATCAAATGTTCACTTCAGGGCAAAATTGAAAACAAATGGTTAGACCAACGATGCGCTTCTGCGATTCTTGATTTTAGGAGCTTGTTCGACTATTTGGCACATGAGAGTCTCCGGACACAAGCATTGCGGCATTCGAGCCGCGGTACAATGAAGCATATTTGTTTTAGGAAGCATGTGCAGGCGGGTTCCCCATCTTCAGCGGCCATCCGAAAGCCATTTGACACCACACGTCTCACAGGGCAACGCATTCCCCATGCGGATCTTCGACGTGGACCACCCCAAGTAAAGAGATGGAAACCGCCCCTCCCAAGATCCTGTGATCAAGGCGCATGGGTACCCCCGCAACTGGTTCTGGTCGACTTTGTGTCGAGTAACAGGGAAGGCAGGTGCTGAGCCTGACCGAATCAAGTGGACAGAAAACAGTATATCATAAACTTGTTGGGCCCCAAAATGATAAAGACATCAACCACGCAACTATAAGCTTAGAGTTTCTTAGATCAACTTGCACTTGGTAACCAGTTCATGTCAGTGCTTGACACTTAGCCAGAACAACTGCCAACAAATTCGCCTGGAACTCATATCCGAAAGAGGGGTGTGCCTCAATTCACAAAGAGCGGTTTGTGTTGGCTTCCCTTCAACTAGCGAACACAGGCCAACTAAACAACTAAGACACCCTACAACCAGCAAAAAGGGGGGTTGAGCCAATTTTGAGTCAGAAGTTTCCTGTTGGCACTAAACAAATTCGCCAATCGGGGTGGGGGTGCCACCAGTTTTCTTTCCGCCACTTGCAGCCAAGCGTCGTCCTGCATCGAGATTCGGGACTTTTGCCGTGACGCGTCTTGCCCTATGCCTAAGTCAACGTCCCCAAGGCTGCGCTCAACGCAATTTACTACGGGGGCAATTTCTCGAGTATCACTCTCGAGTATCACGTGATCGATGGTCAATGCCATAGCTTTAGTTCAATGATTTCATCCTTAGCGACCACCTCTTGCTGACAACACCATGAGAAGCCTGGGGCGAACCTTCGGGCCAGCAAGGGAAGCTGTGTTTTCGACCTGCACCAATGGCGTCCTCAGCATGTTTGCGTTGCAAAGAAACACCTGGACAAATGCCCAGTGGCCATGGGAAAAAGGAGGGCACCTTCTTTTTTGGTTGGTTGAGTTTAAAGGAATCGGAACCCGTACCCAAAAAAGTTGAAAACAGGGCACCACTCATACTCAATTGCTTGCCAGGTCTAGATGGGCATGGGTCCAATGGTCAGGCTGAAACCGAGGTCATTCCACGTGCATCTCAAACATGGTATCAACCCAAACGGTCTCCACAACGCAATGTCTGGGCCATGGTGAAATCTTAAAATACCCAAAAACTCGGTTCCGAGTGGCTTGCCAACATGCCACTAGCACCACTGGGTTTGGACTCGGCCAAGTTGAAAAACTATTCTCTAGATGCCAGATGGTCATGGGTTTACAGTTGATACCAACCGTGGGTGGTCACGGGTTTGCTATTGCTTTCCCGTTCAAAGTCGCTCACTCGGCCTTCTCGAAAGATCTGAGCTGGTGACACCTACGTTTTGCCACCAACATCGGGTAACCCGTGAAAAGGATTATAAAAATGGCTCGGACCCTTCGTCCTGCGTTCAAGTCGCACTGCTGTCCGAGCCGATGAGGAAAGTGGTTGAAACAGAGGTACACTTCCAGGATCACTTCTGGATGTTGGACAAAATGATCGTTACCCATCTGCTTTTGGCTGCTAAGCAGAGGATCTTGGGGACAAACAAATCGAGGGGAAACAACAAAAAAAACGGATCCTTTTGGGCCTGCTTCTCAGTGGAACCGTTCGCGAAGCAACTCCCTAAGGTTCTGTGCCGCTCACAATGTGGATATATTGGCCAATCAGGTGATTCCATTTCCCACACAGGGAAGCCATGGTTAAACCGCTCGCAAAACCCTACACGTTGACCACACCCGAGGTCTGCTGCTGCCCGGAATGGGGTTCACCCACCCCAAACGGTGACCACAACAAGTCTCTAGGTGCCGCTTGTAAGAGATGTTTCTCAGCTTGGTTGCCATCTGTGGAACATGGTGTCACCAGGCATTCGATGTACGCCTTTGAGGGTGCACCTTTCGTCTCTTCGAAAAGGACCAAAAGAAGCCATTTGCATGAATCCATGTGGACGAATGGGACATCATCCAGTTAATTACTTGAGATGGGAGTGCTCATGAAGTCCTTTCTCTGGAATCTGGTCAAATTGTTGAGGACAACCAAGTTGAAGCCATCTTCGTGTGTTGTTCCATCTCACAAGACTTCCTCTCGTTCCCTCGCACCTTTGGACCGAGGAGCAAATGCCAAGGCTCGCCACCGGCTCGGGCTCTGCCACAGGGTCGAAGTTGAGCTCGTGGGTGAAGCCGTCTCCAGAGCCTACAACTGGATCCTTCCAATGGGCTTCGCTGCAGGTTGGAGTTGTTGCTTTTTCTTTCTAAATGGAGCCCCTCCAAAAGGGATTTTACCCCTTTTTTGGGGGTTTCCTGTATTTCTCCCAAGACCCCCTAGGGCTTCTACACAGAAGGAAATGCGTTTTGTGACAGATTCCTCTGAAGGAAGCCAAAACGGAACATCCTGGCAAAGCCAAAGCCGCAAAAAAGCCTGAGACGCTGCACCACCTGCATTCTTTGCCCCAGAGTTCAATACTTCAGCAACAACCAAAACCCATTGATCTCACGATAGATGCAGAGGTGTTAATAGATCTCATTGAGCCTAGGTCCATTGAAGTAACATCCTCAAATATACCCTCTTAGTGACTTAGTGGCGGTTTAACGAAAAGTCACAGCCCGAAAGTCATATGCTTAGAACTACTCAACAACATCTTCACTCTAAGGGACCCAGAAAGAACCTCCGCAGCTTCACTAACTTTCAGCTCTCGGTTGCTTTCTGCTCCCCCGCTAAAAGTGAATAACTTTTAGCGGTTTAATGGGGAACGCCCATTAGTTGGCAACAAGTTAAAGTCCTAACATCCTTTAATGGAAAACCCATTAGTTGGCAAAAAGAACATCCCTTGGCAAAATGCACCAAAGAGGTGTTGGGAGCGAGCCGTGGCTGATTTGGCGGAGCCAAGCTGCAACTCTTCTTGGCCAGGAGCCGTGAGAAAGACATCTCCTCGCATATGCCCCGCATCGAATCGAACCCCGGTCTTCTTTCAGGGGACGTCTTCTGGTGGGTTAAGGGGGAAGCCAAAGGAAAACCGACCAATTTGGGGGTCACATTGTGACACACACCTTAAATATATTAATTTTCCGGATGGCAGGGTTCCATGGATCTCATTGGGGTCTCTTGATTTTGGAGTTGGCACCTCCTGGTTTGGATTGGTAGAAAGGGACATCAGGAACAACAAATATCCTGCCAGCTCTTGGGGTGTTGCCTGTATTTGGTTCAGGACCGGGTTGCACTGGCCGTAATTTTCTTGGCGCATCTGAGGGATCGTCCTCAGTTTGAGGGGGGGGGTGAATGAAAGCTCAGGTGAAGTCGTGGTTCTGGAAAATATACTGCCTTCTGTGATACCAAACATGGGACTCCCATCCCCATGACTACTTTATCACTTTACGGTGGATTGCCTTGGCCACAGCGAATGGCAACCCAAAACAACGAGCCAATTAAATGGGTCTGCGCTTTTTGAGGCTAGCCATTTTGTGGTTCAAAAAGCATACCCGCGAAAACACAGACACAAACACACACACACACACACACCACACACCACACACCACACACACCACACACATTTTGAGGTGGACTCGGGTTCGTTTTCCATGGCTTCGACAAAAACGCTTCAGCCGACTCCTCCGAGTCCACCTTCCGTGTACCCGCGCAGAAGGAGGTGCCCTCCTGTCGCCGGAGGGGCAATCGATCTAAGCTGAGCCTAGCTTGCTTGTGTGCGTTCTTTTTTGGTCGGTTTGTTTGTTCAGTTGTTTATTTGTTTGCTTTCGTTTTGTGTTTATTTGTTTGTTTTCGTTTTGTGTTTATTGGTTTGCCTGGTTTTGAAGTCACTGTCAATATCGGCGCCCGCTTTTTTGAGGGCATCCTTTCCAGGACCCTATCAAATGGTTTGTCATGTGACTGCCTTGGGCGATTTGGAGCCCATACAACCATTCCGGGGGGTGTGCTTCGGGTTTGCCTAGCTTGGCACAGCCCCACCTGGAGTCTCCATGACCTTTTCCACATGTGGTATACTGGTAAGGTACAGCAAGAAATCATTGCATAACAAATCAAGTAGGTTGCAACTTGAGAAATTGAGCCCCCCTGGATTCTTCGTCCAATTTCTCAATCTCTTTGCAAACTTGTGCCATGTTTGATCAGGGAAGTGCCCGCTAAGAACTCCAGGGGCTCAATTTCTTAGCGGCCTTTCCGGGTGATAAAGGACTCTTGGCTAAGAAGTTCAGGGGTTGAACTTGTTAGCGGCCTTTTCCGTTGATGAAGGACCCCTTTGCTAAGAAATTCAGGTGCTCAATTTCTGAGCGGCGTTTGGGTGATGACGGGCTCATTTTCTTAGCGACCTTTGTTGGCGTAGTGGTTCCACACCCACCCCTGAATCCAATATGCACTGGTGCAATCCCCAGTGCGCGCTTGTTCGGGCTTGACATTTCTCAGCCAACGAGTCCTTCACCCTAAAAGGCCACTAGGAAATTTCGTAGCCCCTGAACTTCTTGGCAAAGGAGTCCATCATCACTCGAACAGGCCGATAAATTCAGGGCCAAGGAGACCTTCATCGACATTGACAATTGAGCCCCAGACTTTCTCAGCAGAAGTGCAAAAATGGCTACGACCAAAAAGCCCCCCGCCGCTCCAGAGGGGTAAAAGCTAGCCCTTTTGAAGACGAAATGGATGCTAAGAGATTCAAATTCAGCCCCCCTGGGCCTCGACCAACCGACTTCTTAAACAGCGCTCGCACTGTATACGGGGTGTGGCCGATCTGTTTGCGTTGGAGAGTACGCTTCTGCCTAGAACCGCAGGGAATGCTCACAAAGAGAAAAGGTCACCTTTTGGCAGTGGGCCCCCCTACCAAGTTGGGACAAAGGGCTCCCATGAAGACCTGTCTAGGGGGGTGCCTATGTTCTGTTCAAAAACCGGACTCGGCCAGAAGCAACACATACTCTCTTTGCCCACCTGTGTGAGTCAGACTCAGCTTCGTGGCAAAAGAGAGGTCTTCTTTCTTTCATCTACACTACACTGTTGGATATGGTTGACGCGCTGCGCATGGCCTGAGGAGTATGTCACTAAGTCATGGCTCCTCCTGTTGCAGATGTCAGATGTGGGAAGAGGGTCGCCTTTGATTGAACTCGGAATGTACAGCATTGCGGCGCGCTTGAGACTCACTTGACACGAAGAAGGTGTCCAAGGGATCTTTCACCGAGTAGCGAGAAACAGGGTGTGCCTCAAAGTAGGCGCTGTTAACTGGGCTGCCCTCGGATCCCCTTCTAAAAGTGAATGGAATTCCCCACTAAAACCTTAAAAGCTAAACACCAAGTTAAATGGAACCCCCCACTCAAACCTCGCAACCTAACACCTGAGCGGTTGGATTCCCATTGGTTTCCTTTAAAGCGACAAGTCCCAAAATCGTCGAATCAAAAAACGACAGCGAAGCTGCTTTTTCCTCGACGGGGGAAACAAGCTTGTCCCCTAATATTTGTGGGCTTGCCATGTCACTCCCACATGACTCTAAGCTACTGTAAACTTCATACGCGGTTGCATACCTTTTGCGTATCCTTGCTAATGTTGTGACGCGCCAATTCCACGACGAATCCAACGTTCCTAGCCAGAAGTGGAGCCCTTGGATGTCCGAATGCGCCGAACCCAAACGGATACGGTGTCAGTGCTACCGTATACCAGGAAACCATGTCAAGTCGACAGTGCTCAACAGTCATTGTCATCAAGATAGGGCCCCCCCAAAATATTAATACAGTGGGGTTCCATTTGTTTCCCCGAAACACCCCGCAAAACTGGATGCCTAAAAAGCGAGCTACTCACATCGTGGCCGTCCTTCACGTAGAAGGTTCCCCCCACAATCCACTTGAGGCCCGACCAGGTCTCGGGGCAGCTGGTGCCTGCGAGCGTTAACAACTTGGATGCTGATTTTAGCAGGTTCTAGGGTGCTCAGTCCCCGTATCATGAAGATCACCTACTATACGTTCCTTGAGCACCTAAGGGGGCTCTGGAAACCACCCAAAACAAACCAACGAAGGCCCAAGAAACCTGATTTGGACAGCCGAGATTTTGAACACCGAAACCCGGACTTTCCTGGGCCATCGTTGAACCTCGGATTTCCACATGTTCTGTGAGCATAATTTGACTAAAAGGGAAGTGTAGTGCATCACAGTGCATCACCGCATGTTGACCCAGCGCAGGAAATCCATCCTGCATTTTTTCCAGAAAGCAGATGAAACACATAGCGACAAATTCCGAGTTTGCCAAACTCAAAGGTGTTCGGCTGGAACCCCGACAAATGGCCTGCCTGTGTCCTATGAAGCCACTGAAAACTCGGGCCTCGGGTCTTGGGGAGAGAAATGACAAACGTTTTATGGAAAACTCTGGCGTTGACTGGATGACTGCCTTCCATTGCCAGCTTCAAGGGTAACACGAGAGGTATAGTAAACCTCCACTTGCCTTAGTCCCTTGGGAAGAAAATACTTCAAATATATGTCCAGTTGTGATCGCTTCCTTTAAAGCCATTCAGGGACATACACGTTCACATTCACCCTGGGTTCAAACCACCTTGCAAACAATGAGGGTTCATGTAACCAGCATGAATTCCACACAAGATTGCCATCATCCAAATTGGGTCAATTGCCATCATCCAAATTGGGTCAATTGCAATCATCCAATTTGGGTCAATCATTCTTCTAATGGGGGTTGAACCCTAGGGTGAAGCAAATGGAAGCAACATGGCTGTGGGTCAAAACCCAATGGGATCCCATTTTTTGGTAGGTGAATTCACCACCCATTTTAGAACCTATCTGAGTGGGGATTGAATCGGATGTTCACTGGGGGTACGACTTGGGGCCACATGCTTTCTCCGCCGCGTGTCAACCCCGCGCCTTTCACCAGGACCTGCGTCCAGTGCTTCTCGTTGTCGCACCAAGTCACCGCCTGGCGGCAGCACTCGGTGCGCTGATTCCGATGGCCGGGTCGGGGGGGGAGGGAGGGGGGGAGGGGGGGGTTGGCCGGCGGGGAGGGGCCCGGGGGAATTGGGGGGGGGGGGTGGGGTTGGGGGGGGGGGCATAGATTTTGCCCGAACTTAGAGAACATTTTGGGGCAGATTTGTCGTGAGCTGTTCCAAATGGAGGATTGACCCATATTCCGTCCTCCCGAAAAGAGAGCTATACTACAGAGAGCCGTTGTCGCAACCACTTAGCACCGGAAAACCCAAGCAAATACTTGCACGCCGCAAGAGGCCCGATCCCTTCTATGCAAGAAGATTGCGCAGTTTCCAGGCTACATTTTGAAATTCGAAACTCGAAATGTTCAGGAGGGGAAGCGTACACGACGACGGCAAAAAGCACGCCTACCAACCAAAGGGGGGTTTCTGAGGTTCCCTGGGAAGCAGGGGACAGCATGAGCTTCTTGGAATTTGGTGAAGCTTGGTGACTCTGAAACCTCTGCCCAGCCTTAGTGCCGGGCTTCGGATTTGCATAGCCGCGCCAGAGGCCCCCAGGAACCGCGTCCCATCCTGGTGGATTTGTCGAGTGAGCGGTCGATCTGCGCTTGTTTGCAGGGAAGCAAGCCAAGCCAAGCCAAGCCAAGCAGCCAGCAAGCAAGCAAGCAAGCAAGCAAGCAAGCAAGCAAGCAAGCAAGCAAGCAAGCAAGCAAGCAAGCAAGCAAGCACACAAACAATCGAACAAGCAGGCAAGCAGACATACAGGGGCAGCCAGGCACACAGACAAAAAACAAGCACACAAGCACACAGGCAGCAAACAAGCAAACCCACAAACTCACCAGCAGCCAAACAAGGCAAACACGACAACCAAGCAAGCGAGCGAGCGACCGAGCCAACAAACGAGGACACAACAAACAAAACGAGCAAACAAAGTCAAACAAACACACAAATAAACTGCCGCACAAGCCAAACCAACCATCCAAACAAGAAGGCAACAAAAACAAGCAACACAAACAAAACTAAACAACGTACATGACTACATAAATCATTCACGGTAGATACGAGACATGCCCGCTCAAAGTTGCAAACAGTGTGTCCTCCGCCGCTGCAGTGATCGCCCTGGTGAACGCTGTACTTGGGACCTAGGACACGGGAAACATATCATGGACATGGGAAAGTCATGGGGATATCAGCAAGTATTCCCAGTACTGCCTTGGTGTTCAACATCCCCAAATGGTCGAAATCCTGCTTGGTCAAAGTTCAAACTGTCTTTGTCAGCTGAAATGATTTCTCCGAACACAGTTTGAAGTCCAACTGGGAAGGAACATGGCCCAAGGGGAAACTTGCGGACCACGCTGAAGAAAAAACACTGCAAGCTGGCAGCCCCGCTTAGTGCAGATAGAAGGAGAGACATTTGGGTCCCCCTACACCCTCAACCCACCCAAGAAAAGGCTCGGAACTCTTCTAACCCCTTTCGATCAGAAGGTGCTCCCAAGCTTTCTTGGGGCCTTCGGTTTCCCGGATGGGTCATGGCCCCTTGATCTCGGGTTAGGATCACTCCCGTGTTTTTGTTTGCGGTCGTAGAGATAGGTACGGCTAGACTCAGAATGAGTAAACTCTAGAGACAAGGAACCCTGGTTACCGCAAGTACTGGGATTCCTTGTTTTTCTCCATTTATGGGGAGGGGGGCTGATAGGTTTCCGGAAAGACAGATCCTTCTGAACGCTTCTGCCGGGGCGCCCCCCTTCTTCAGCTTGGAGGTGCACACGCAGTAGAAGGTGGGGGGGTCCCGGAAGGCGTGGGTGTCCTGGAAGGCCTGACAGGAATCGTAAGCACGTCACATTTTACACCGTATATTGGTGCCAGTGAAACATACAATGCTGAACGGTCCAGTGCGAATGACCAAGCAAAACCCCAATCAAGACCAAGACATGACTTATTAAATCCATTCATGCCGCAGTTTCCCCACAACGCCAGTCACGAGTTGTGCTTTACCTTGGCAACTCACTTGCCCCCTGTGGCGGTGGGCTTGCAACGCACTTCCCAAAGAAGCGGATCCGGCCTCCCCAACTGTTTTTCTTCTCATGAATAGGCTGGTCCCCAGTTGTCCTGCTGGTGCCTTAGGCAGGGACTGAGGGAGTGACCTGGATTTAAACCAAGTTGGATGGCTTCCTTTGAGCGGACCTGAATTCCCACATTCCTTACTGAGCACCAGCAAAGTCGTTTTATCTGTTAAGTGCCTGGAGATAGACCATAGTTACCAGCCGCTACCATGTCCTTGCAGTGCCGGGGAAAAGTTAAGCCCCCAAACGAAGTCAAGCATCTGATAGAATGTGTCAAACTAGCCCCCGCCCCCCCCGCCCCCCGCGAAACAAAACCGGTTTGATGTTGACTTCCCTTTAAGCTAACCTTCAAAGGGTACCCTCCGAACACACACGCACACACCTACGACAGAGGCTTATGTGGCTTCCTATTGTGGATGGACAAAGCCCTGCACCACCTAAGAAACCCTGGAAGGATGATTCCCCTGTAAATACCAAAGACAAATGGTGTCCCATGGTTTCAAAGTGGTTCAGGATTTCGTCCATCCACAGTATGACAGAAGCAGCATGATGAAACAATCCCAACCCTATTCCCACAGCTTGGGTTGCTTTTGCACCATTGAGGGTGTGGTTAAGGCTGCCGGATTCCCTAAACAATACATCCCCCAAATCACATGTTCTGCTAGTTCTTCTGAACACAAGCTGGCAAACATGATCAACATAGCCGGCATGTAGCCGTCAAGCCCGCCCTGATGCAACTCAGGGGCTCAGCAACCCCAAGACACCCTATCCCCAAGCAACCCACAGGCCTCACCTGCAAAAGGACCCGGAAATCAAAGGTTAAACTCTTGGGACCCTTGGCACATCCACCAAAAAGAGAAACACTTGAAGCCCCGAAATATGAAGTCGGTCTACCCTGAAGCTTGGGGACTTGGCGTTGTCGTTCTTTTTTTGAGGGGTTTCCAAAATAAGAGATGTTTCTTTTTGGTTTCCTCACGACGAGAGGATTGGCCAACAAAAAGTCCGAATGTTCTCCTTTGCCACTGAAATGGCCTTTCCACAAAGTAAGTTCACGAACTCAAGAAGTGAGTTGCCCCTAAAGCCAACCAAGAAGGAGGCTATCCTCAAGAGAACACGGCCATTTGGATCCAGTCAGCTTGCTCTCGCCTTGAGAATCTCCGGTCCAGGCCGGGGGTCAGCCACGATGAGGGCCTCAGTTAAACCGAAGTCCGGTTTCCCGTGTACAGATCGCGAAACCGGCTTTGTCTATGTTACTTAGCCTTGAGACCAAAAAACAGAGACCCACAAACATAGGTGACCTTTTGAACAGACTCTCTGGCAAATGGAGCTCATAAACCCCATCTAACCAGTGGATCCCACCTTTTATTCATCAAACGGTATTCTCCCCCCAAAAAATGGAAGGCTTCCTGATGGTTTCCCTTTTCCAGCCAAAAATAGGTATTCTCCCAAAAAAAGGGAGAATGAAAGGGTGCCATTTTGGGACCAAAACGGGTTCCTTAAATAGATTGTTCAATGTAATTTGATAAAGGAGGGGTCACAAAGAGTCCTGGCAAACAAACGGGAGCTCCTGCATGTGCAGAGGGCGACCCCCTTTCAACAATTTTGGTTGGTTGACAGGGCAGACAAAAGGAAGCCACCCTTTCTTGGGAGTCCTCTATTTCGTGAAATGTCCTTGCAATATTTTTGCGCAACGGTCAGTATTTACCGTGATTGATTGTAGCAAAAACACTTACAACATAGCTAGAGGGGTACAGTCCGGGCGCCATGTAAGTAAGGGAGCTGACAGTGCGAACAATTGCGCCGACCCGAAAGGCAAAGCGTTTGGCAAATCAAGAATCGGAGCCGAGTTGCGTTTCGGTGTCGCTGCATTTGGGACCCAAACTCGCTTGAATGGGTATTTTTTGGAGACCCCCCATGTGGTCTTCAAGCGAAGCCAGCAGGAAACCACCCATTTTGCGGCTTGCCCTACCCCAAAATGGGCCAGAACCCAGGCGTTGAAGGCTTAGAGGCTGAGAAGTTGTCCTGAACTTCTTGCCTTCTCGAGTCTGTCCTTTTGAACGCCCGGCCCAAAAAGGGGGTAGCCCCCCACTCGAACTGCCCCAGAACAGATGTAAATACCCATATGTTTGTTGAACAAGGAGCCGTTGTTTAGATAGTTTGAGTCCAGCTGCCCACTATTTCAGGTCCGCCCCCCCTCAAAAAAAAACATTTAAAACAAATGGGTTGGTTTCCTTGAAACCAGCCGCCCATGTCCCAACAAGCTTTGAACGGGGCCCTTGTGGTCGAGTCGCATCTTCCATGGCACTGCCCAAAGACCGCAGGTAGACCACCAGCATGCGCTCCATGCTCTTGTCGAAAATCTTTGCTACCTGCTGCCGCCTGACAAAAAATATCACCCCTCCACCTTAAGCCATTACTCGGGTGGCAAGGCATCCCCTAGGATTGGCCAGGGATGAATAAACCAGGATACACCAAATCCTACACCAAGTTGAAACCATGGTTGAAGCCATAGTTTGTTGGTATTTGCAAGGGAATTGAATTATTGCAGGGTCTCTGACAGGTGCGAAATGGATTTTGTCCATCAGTTCAGCTTCACTCTATTTGGTGATTTGGATTGGTGGTTGCAAACAACAAAAACAAAAACAAAAAAAACGGGGGACGGGCGTTAATGACTTGATGGGCACAACTTGGACGAGTGTGGATCAGGCAACCTGATCAGTCTGCTTTCCTCCCACGAAATGAATGTTTCCCCCCCCCCCAAACCAATCCAAACCACCAGAAGTGATGATTCCCACCCGAACCCAATCAGGGATTCTTACATTATGCACCTGAACATTGCAACTTGTAAATGGTGGTTTCCCTTTACTCTAACATGATTCAAATGGTTGCAAAATCTCTTAAGGAGCCCTGCCAATGACACCCCCCCAAAAAGACGAAACGAATGGCTTCCCCCGCCTGTCCACCAGCAAGAAGTTGGCCTTCGAAGCGCCCGGGCACTCCGCCCCGACGAAGGCCGCGGCGCGCTGCCGCAGGCCCTGCCCAAGGGCCAGGGGTCATTCTCATTGCAACTTGTAAATGGTGGTGTCCCTTTATTTGGGTGGAAAAAACAACATGTTTCAAATGGTTGCAAAATGGAGATCCGCCACTCCGGGGGTGACTTTGACCATGGTAAAATAATGAGGCCAGGAAACCGGAAAGAAGGAAGAGAGGCGCTGAGCAACAAGCGCCCAGTTTCAACCAGTGACCCTGGTAGAACAAGGGAACCTTTCCCCGACTTACAACTGGTTATCCCCTGTCCATTGGACTACTTCGAGGGTGGGGATGCTCAAACCACAGACTTGTGTCCATCCCTCACCATTTTCGACCTCCGAACTGCCATCGACTCGGCTAGGAAAGGCTGGAAACCTTTGTAGGGGAATGAACTAATTGTCCTTCAATCTTCACACGCACACCCACACATACGCAGAGACACACACACACACACACGCACGCATTTTACCGGATTCTGTGCTTCTGTCCCGTTCAAGCATCAGCCTATCAAAGAGAAACATGATCGAGCTCGGCCAAGCATGGGATGTTCAAGCAGCAAAGAGGATAGGGGAAGAAGAGACTGCGCTTCAAAACATCCGCACCCACGCGAAACGCAACAAATGCCCCCAAGAAATGCTTACACCCAAAAAAGAGACAACTAATAGAACAAACGCAAATTAATCACATATTCCCTTGCAGCCTGCGTTGAGCGGAAGACTTGGGTTGCCACTGGCGCAGTCTGCGCCAACTTTGAGACCAACCAACCATTTCCATTTTGGATTTGAAGTTTCCTTCGGTACCTACCACACACCAGCGTAACAGTCTGGGTATATACAGAAGAATATGGGCTGGAATTTCGCCTACCGTGGGAACCGACACCCCTTCATGCAGTTTCCATGAGCCTTTTTTGGACATAAAATGCTCTGCCCCGCGAGACGCAATCGCCGGACTGGGCTTCAAATACGTACAGGCTCTGGGGAGAAATGGGAAACATGGCCCACTTTGGTTTCCTTTTGGGAACGCTAAACATGGCTGTGGACCGTTTGGTGGGCGTTGTTTGCATGGGGAGTTGGGTGTCTTTCTTTTGATGGTACTGTTGTTTAAAGAAAACCAACGCAAACCACAATTATTTTGTGGTGAGGTTCCCTCAAAAAAAGAGACTGGCCCATTTACCCTCCCACCAATTAACATGGAACCTCACGTTCAGTGGATCGTAGTTTGGACCATGTTTCTTTTCAAGGGACCGGGTCCCGAACGTCAGGTTCAGTGTTAATTCGTGGGAGGGTAAGTGCGCCCGTCTCTTTTTGTTGAGGTTTCCCTTTGAATCCAGGGTGCCCTCCGAAGACAGACACCCAACTCCCCGCGTAAATGATGTCCACCAAAGGGCCCATAGCTAAAAGTTACACCTGGATTGATCATATTTATCGTTGCCCAAAGGAAACCAACAGGAGACCATCAGAAGGCTGCTTCCACGCTTCCAACTGCGCCACCCGCCTTTCACGCCACAAGCACGAGAGCACGAGTCGAGTCGAAGAGATTTCTCAAACTCGCCTCGAGGTCCCAGGGGATGGGCCCGTCGCCCAGCTTTTTCAGAATCCACCCTCAGTGCGCAGCAATTCGTTCGGGCCATAGGCCCCACACAGGGCTCAAAGGGCTCAGATCTGGTTGCCCTGAATAAGCCCCATAGGCCACAAAGGGCT